AATTTGTGTAATTTATACTTATTGAAATAAATTTATATCAAGATTTTTCACAGAAGAACTTCATTGGGGCTGTGGCTCATCAACAGTTCTAAAGTTCACTTTTCTCATTAGAATTGCTGTTACATGCAACTGCATAGCCAAAGCAAAATATGCCTTTGATGTAAAATATGAACTTGTGCCATGCTTGAAAACAAAGACTTGATTTCCCCCTGTGATCTGCATGAAGAAATGATCTGCTCAGCGCCGCTGATCCACACTGTTAAGTGATTTTAATTTCACTCTTGTACCTAGCCAATGCTATAGTCCAGGGACTAGTGGGAGGGGATGGGGGAAGTGTGTGTGTGTGTGTGTGTGTGTGTCAGTGGTGTGGATGCATCGTGCCAGAAATGTTGATGTGACTGTGATTTATGTCGGAATCGTGCCAAGTATGTCCATCAGGGTGAACCCTCTCCGAGCCTCACCCTGTCCACATCTCTGACTCTGACCCAGTCTCTCAACACGATTGCTTAAATCGGATCTGGTAAGAAGGTAGATGTGGTCTAAAGCGATTTGGCACGGGTGAAATCTTTGGCATGGGTTAAATGGGTCCTACCCTCTCTTTTGGCCCTGTGGAGGCACACATTGGACCGCCGTTGTCCTTTACAGTCTCCTGCAGTCCCTTGCTGTTGTTGCCCAGTCCAGATTAGGTTCTTCTGGCACATCTCATGCTGGGCTTCTTCCTAAAACCGTCTGGCATCCGCTTGCGAAGCAACCCTGAATGTTGCGATGTTAGGGCCATATTTGGCTCCTCATGAGACCAGATCGTGTTTTTGTCCACATTTAAATGAAAGAAAAGATCCATTTTTGCGATCCGGTTGATGTAGAAAATAAAACTAAAATCTTATAAATGTCCATTTTACTAAGAAATAAGCACCACATATTTGCTTGGTGATAAGCGTCTTCATACAAAAATGCTGGACACATCCTAGATGTTTACTGGACTTTCTGCACTCTCTAGTTATTGTTACCTAAACGTTGCTGGAATGTTATGGAAATGTTATGCATTAGCATGGCCCCAGCTGCTTTTTTGCATGTCATTTCATCATTTGCCACCAGTGGCCTCTTCGGGCTGGTCTGATCATCTGCCCTGATGCAATGAGAAGCACTATAACAAATTCTGTTTTGGAAATCTGCCTCTCTTCACTCTTACCCAGAGAAACTTCATGTTTCGTCTGCTTCCTGAATTCGTACATGCTTTCATCTACATTACTTTTTGAGTCTTCAGCAGCTAATAAGACTCCCACAGTGTATTAGAGATGTTAATGATCCATGGCAGCAAGAGAAACGGCTAAAAACGTTGGTTTCTTTTAGAACAGAGATTTTAAATGCTATTCTTTTTTTTACTCCGCAAATCAGGAACAGACTGCGCGCTCATTAAAACACGCATTGGTATCTGCAAAAGACACACAAACACTTAGAAGTGTGATTCCACACAAGCACACACAATTTTATACAGATTTGTCCCATTTAGCGCAACCCGTATATTGTTCCTCAAGTGCCAAAACCCATCTGGCTCTAGTCGTTTTTATTTCGATGTACCCAATTTAACCCCAGTTGGTACCAGTGCAAGAATCCTCATGCTGGAGCCGTTTTGGACAGCGTACTGGACGGTTCACCCTCAGGAACGGACCTAAATGTCCTTGGTTTCAGCAGGCAGCTGTCCCCACTTAGGCCCTAATTTAATCTCCACTCTCCGACCCTCTGAGGCTCTCGTGAATGTCCTGGAAAACAGAATCTGGCAACACGGACTCTCTCTCTCATTCAAACACACTCGCTCTCTGAAGGGTTCCAGTGCTGATGTTTATTATGAAGGTATCTGGTATTTTTGATATCACAAACACACACTTCTCTCTAATGTTATGATATGTATATCTTTCGTTTGTAATATCTACATTTTCCATAAACGCAGATAAAAACGACACGACCAAAATTACTTAACAACGCCATTGTCATTGTTCTGCGTCTGTTGTTGCCTCCTCTGAAATGTTGTCCTGCTCTTGTTTTTAGGCAATCTGAAGGCCCCATCTGGTCAGCCTGGTGGGGTTTGGATTAGTCATGGTCTGGACCCTGTGACCAACCGACAGCCTCTCGAGGGTCTGCGTAACCCACCCACAGACAGCCTGTATCAAACTCCGTCCAAAACCAGCACAAGCACACAATGTCACATTCAGCCACCATCACCACCACCAACAATCACCATTCTGCAGAGATCAACACGTGATGGATGGAGTTCACACATAAAAGCTGTAAGTTATTGTTAAGAATATGAAATTTTCATCCAACAATATTCAATATTCCCTCTGAAGATTCAATATACTCTACAAAAAAGGCATACTGTAGGTCTATTTCAATTAAGTCAGAAAAATCACTGTCCGAAAGCTGCCTGGTGTACAAAGGTAGAGTTTTACATAACATCCCATCTTTAGACACCTTTTTAAAGGCAGCATAAATGTATCCTTCACTGACTATGATATCCCACAATCCTGTGTGCGGTTAAAAACTATTGATTATTAATTTCTCAATTTCTTATTGACACCTTCAGACACAATTTTATTAATTTCATTTATATTACATTTATTTAGATGGATTAATTACTTTATTTATAAAAACGATTTTCATTTTCAAATCCATTTAAATGAAATATTTTATTTAATTAAAATAACATTGATATTCATTTTATTTAATTTGCATTAAGTTGATGACAGTAAATATAATACATGTATTTTCTTTTTCATGTTATGACTGTTCTAGTGAGCAATAAGCACTCGAGTCACTAAATATGTGTTTGGTTATTTCTAAAGCTCACTTGAATTAGTTTTAAATCATTAGAAATGACAGTTTTTTTTAAAGCATGTCTGAAACTTTCCTTAGGATGTGATTCCCTTCATGCCAAAACACTGTCTGGGCATGTAAAGTCTCTTTGAATCTATATAAAATATTCTTTGTTCTAAATCTTTCTTCTAACAATAACACTCCACATTCATTTCTTGATGTGGAAGCCAGAGTAATTGTAACAGATGTTGAATGATTAAATTAGCAGTTGCAGGCTGCTCAAATATTCATGTTGCGTTGCGAACGTGTACCATTACGAAGAAAACCCATCGAATACTTGATTATTCTAGGCTTTTGTTTCCTTCACATAAGGCACAAATCTAGGTGAATGTGTCTTCTGTTTTCTGCGATGGCACTCGTGTGGGAGAAGGAGATGCCGTTTCCAGCACTGCATTTTATTCAGCTCTGAGATTCATGAAAGTTTAAGACACAGACTCTAAGTGATGTCATGGGAAGCATCGCACTATGAAGCGAAAGAGGGGAACTGCTCTTGTGCCCTGGAGCGGGACACTTCACACCCGTCTGCTCCAGATGTGCTCAGCGCCTGCCCCTGTCAGGATGTGTCAAACCCCCTTTTAGAATGTGCAAAGTCTGCATGGAAAGTCACTCAAGGACTTGTGGTAACAGGATTGAAATCCCTGAACATAAAGTAAGACAAATAAAAATTTATTTTATAAGCAATATTAATAACTTGTTTAACAGATCAGATACAGTGAACCCAGAAACTATTTAGACACCTAAGGCGCATGCTAAAATTAAGGAATGTTATTGCATCAGATATACATACACACACTTTGTGTTTTCATATTTTATAGGGACTTTCCATAGACATAATGATTTTTATACCGTACAAACTATATTCTATCCTTACAATAACCCTTCCCCTAAACCAAGCCATCACAGAAAACTTCAAAAAAATGCACTTAATATTATTTATAAGCTGTTTTCCTCATGGGGACCAAAAAATGTCCCAAGGACAAGGATTTCAAATATTAAATACATTTTGTCCCCATAATGTAGGGTTTACCAGGCCACACACACACACACACACACACACACACACACACACACACACACACACACACACACACACACCCAAGCATACAAAAAAGACAGAACGTCTTGTGACACTTTGTGGTTGTCAAACGTTATTGGGTCATGTTCATATTTAATGTGATGAACTACAGTTACTCTGAAAGCACCAAAACACAAGTAGATTAAAAGTAATTGAGCAAAAGTTTGTTTGTAGATATTGTTCTTTTAACAAAATATGTTCTGATAACATTAAATAGGTTAAACCGTAAACAATACTTGTTTATGTGAGACTTTTAGACGTTAAAATTTATATTATAACGTCTAAAAGTGATTGGGTTTCTTTGAGAAAACATTCAAATAAACAGTGTTCTGCCACACGCAGCCCAATCTGTGCCAGTCACCTACCTAGTTGTTTGTGAATAGTTTACTGGTCCATAGTGTGCACAGAATATTAATTCACACAGAGAAATGATCCAGTTTGCACCTTTTATCCTGGGAAAAAAAACTGCCGCACATTTGTATAGCTTAATTATGAGTGGTGGCGTTCAGTATTGAGAATGGAGGAGTCGTTTTCCTATTTCTGACCTTTAGTGACATCTAGTGATTCACAAACAGAACTGCAGTCAAGTCAAGTTGGTATAGCAACCATATAGCCAAGCCAACATTTAATAAAGGGGTCAAAATTGTCTAAATTTTTACATGCACACAACCTAGGCTACAAATAACAATAAACAGAACGCACAATATATATATATATATTTTTAATTCTAGCCTAACCTTTAAAATACATAAATATTTATAAATAATCACTCTTATAGCCTACACTCTAACAAATGATGGGTTGTTTCAACCCATATTTGGGTCAAATATGGACAAACCCAAGCGTTGGTTTACATTTTTGTATTACATTTTTAAACCCAACGGTTGGGTTAGTCCATATTTGACCCGAATATGGGTTGAAACAGAGTGTATGTGGATTGTTTTGTATGCAAACTCCTCCTCACACATTTACAGGTAAGAGGTTTCATATCAGTACTGTGAAATTGCACAAACTTCCTTTGAACGAACAGGTTAGGCAACAAATATCATGTTTCTGCATGCAGCAGCGCTCAAAAGCTGAAGCTCAATTCCTCTTTCAGTCTTACATGTGAATATTCATCTGGATTAAAGCAGAGCTCGACGACCGCGTTCACACACCGGCTTTGTGCTTCGGGTTGTTTTTCCTTGCGCTTTATTTGCATACGCGTTCTGCTTTTTCCCCTTGACGTGGACCAAATTAGAACCGTGTTTCTGTTTTTAGCTCGGGTTGATATAGTGATAAGTAACCTTAAAGCAGGCGTGCTGTGGTGGCAGCTGCTCAGTTTGGATCTCCTCCGTTAAAGCGCAGGTGAGTGTGTGTGTCTGTTGTGTGTGTCATTCTGCGGTGGATCACATCTTTATATTTTGCTAAGTTAATAGTCTTTGCTGATCATATGATTGTTTAAAAATCGATAGGAACTAATTTTCACACATGTTTTGTGGTTTCACGAAATCGTGTTTGTTTATTTATTCGAATTTGTCTTACATTTTTGTTATGAACAACATGGATTGCGCTGTTTTCATTATACGTTATAAAAAGCAAAGTTGGTAGGCATGTTTTGTGTGGGAAGAGTTTATTCAACGGTTTGCTTGCGGAGCTTTTTGTTTTACTTTTGACAGCATATTTATGACTACTTATAGGGGTGCCCAGTCCTGTTCCTCGAGATCAACCTTCCATTAAATTTCTTCTCCAACCCTAATCAAACACCTGAACCAGCTAAATATGATCTTCAGGAACAGTATTGGGCATCGGTCTTATATCAATGTATTGAAAGCGAAAGTCTAAATAGCAAATTATTAATATTAATATTCTGTCTACCAAGCTTTTTTTTTTTTTAAACCTTCATTACACAAAGTTTGGGTAAAATAATTAAGTGTTTATTATACATAATGTTACCATTTAGTAAATAAGACTCTTGTATTTAGATTTTACCTCCGGTTTCACAGACGAGGCTTAAGCCTATAGTCCTGGACTAAAATGCATGTCTGAGCTGTTTTAACTTAAATAACTTGCACTGACATATCTTAAAATATATCAGTGCCATTGTTTTGTCTCAAGAAACAAGATGCACACCAGTAATATTTATTTTCTAAGGCATGTTTATAAAAGCTACTTAAATGTCCTAATTGAACTAAGGCCTAATCCTGGATTAATTTAATTGAAGCCCTGTCTGTGGAACCGGGCCTTAGTGTTTTAGTGCCTCTTTTTTAGTGCACGTTTTGCAATGTTAGTTCCGGCACATTTGGCCCAACAAGGAAGCTTTAAATGATAAATATCCTTTTGCTTAACAGATAAAAACTGATAATTTATTCACCTCCAACAAAACTGAATCATAGTCTCAAGTCTTCTGTCTTCAAATATATGTGATGGTTTCAGGGATTCTCATTAGCTACATAAACGTGCAACCTTGTTAGATCAAATTTGATATGTTTTGATTGCGCAATGGCCTCGTGGATTAGGAACGTTTTGCAGTGCACAGAAACGAACAGGTGTTTAGGAAAGTACTTTTTTGTTTGTGTTGTGTTTTGGCCTTTTAGAACAGTTGCACCACACGTGTATATATATATAAGGGTAATTTAAATAATGTAGCATGAATGAATAATATGAATATAAATATGAAACCAAACACCTTTTTTTTCCTGACTCTCATCTTGGAGTTAAATGTATTGGTTTCTTTTAGCGTTTGCCCAGAGAAGATGAGCTCATAATGAGGTGTCTGCTCACTACAGTGGTTGTCTTTTAAATGAAGTGGACCTCATGACCACAGCGATGTCTACCAGTAAATCTGCAGCCAGAAGAGCTATTCTACAGACCTCACGGGTTAGATGGAAGACGGATCAGAGCGAGATTGTTCCGATTATCACTTCTGACACGAGTAAGTACCTGAGATGTTTGCTTGTTAGATGTTGTGCTGCTGAATGGAGGTTCATGCAGTTAGCAGCAAATGGCAACTTTCATTATTTCTCTTGATTCGTTTTTGGCAGTGTTGTTAAAATCACATTTCCATGGATCATTCATGCATCTTCACAGAAAATGCAAAGCAGTGCAGTGAACGCCCATGTAACCCTGGAGCTCTGTAATTCAGTGGATCAGCCAGAACTCAGAGATACTTTTTTTTTCTGTTTCTGGAGCAAGGTGAATGTTTCTCCTCTTTGTTTTGAACAGGGAAGTGTGATGAAGACAGCGTAGAGCGCTGGCTCACGACCATCTCAGAGTAAGAGCCGAATCTCACAAGTGTTTATTTCTCCTTCATTGTGGCTTTATTTTGGGATAAATCCTCTCTCAAAGGGTTTCAGCTGTGCTATTGTGCTATCTGTTGTTGTCATTTGAATTTCTTCCCACATTATATTCTTTAAAGCGTTTCCTCCTAGTGATGTGGTTACTAATACAGCTCGACTTCCTTGTTTAAGGGACGGTAAGAGACCAGAGGTTGTCCTGGAGACGGCAGGTAAGATTACATATATATAGGCTATATACAGTATATATGCACACACAATATATATTTGATTTTCTGAGATTGCCGGTGTTATGTAGTTATTTTACATTATATATGAATATACATTATATTTATTATAATTAATATATTTTAAAGTAATAACAAGAATATAATCTATAAAAAAATTATTAGATTTTTTATTTATTATTATTGTATTATTAATATTATAAAAAAACAAGGAACTCCCGCACACTATCAATACTTGCAAATGAGTATCAAAAAATGCCTGATGAAGGTCGTGACCGAAACGTTGCTAATGAAATTTTGATACTCATTTGCAAGTATTAATAGTCTGCGGGAGTTCCTTTTTTTTTTTTTTTTGATTTTTGACCAATCCATTTGGTCTTTTTTCCCACGCACCTATCACCTGCCGGTGTGCGATGGTGATTTCCAAATGATTATTAATATTATAAAAATATCATATCACTGAGTGATAATTCAAAAAATAATGTGTTGATTATGTTGAGAAAAGTTAAATCCAGTTGGGTCTCACAAAAGTAACTGTAGTCTGATTCCGTAGTAATCTGTAGTCTGATAGTTGCTGTCTATTTCAATTTATCGGTAGTAGACTGTTTGATAAATGTGTTAAATGCTCAAAGTATATACAGAATGATCTTGCGAAAGCCCGTTTAACCATGGAGCTCTAAACATTAATATACTGATATGATTCACAATGATTCAATTAGTCATGTATCTGTGATGGCTGACAGTGTGCTGGATTATACCATTATAATAGGTTTAGCAGGTGACTTGTTTTTTCACTTTTGTAAGTTCTGTAAATACTTTATCGTAAAACACATTGCTTTGCTTTCAGTGAAGGCTATAAGGAGAAATGAGAGCGGAGAAGATGATCTGGCACTGGGAGTGGAAGGTAAGCATTCCCTGTTTTGTATTGCTTGGATCAGTTAAACTAAATACTCTGCTGAAACGAGACATATGCGCGATATGAATGAGTGACACTGTTTGACGTCAAGGTTTGAGTTATTCTTTATAAAAATGTGGAGCATACAATGGCATATGGGTTTGTGCGTCTGTGTCTTGGAATACATTGAACTATTCAGAAGGCCTGTGCTAACCCTGGATTTTAAACATGGCAAACCTTTCCATATTTTCAAACACAAACACTGGCAAAGAGTGAGACAATCCAGTGCCTGCTGTCTTCTGCTTCAGGAAACTTCACCTGCTACTGCATTGTTTCCAGTTACACAGAAAAGATAAGGAGTAGAGAAAGACGTGATCTTTACTTTAACATGATTTACGCAAGAACGACATGTTCGTGGATCAACCTCCATATAGGTCTGGGAAGAAAACCACCCTATCAGATCAACGAATCCTATCAGATTTTAGAGTTAGCTTTTAGGGGCCTAAAACATATTCTTATCAAGTTCCCTTGATTTTCAGAGTTGGTTATGGTTATAGATACACTGCAAATAATATTCTTAGATTAAGATAGTAATGAAGGAAAGATAACCCAAGATGTAGTGTTTTTGTTTAACTTGCTATTCTGATACTATACTATACTTTCACAAATTCAAGTAATTCATCTTAGTGCAGCTTTCCTATATTTTTATTTTTAGGAGACAATAAATACACCAGGTGAGTTAGATGTATGCAGTTTTTAGTTTAAATAAGCCTACATGAAAATTGTATTTCGTAAGTCACTCTTTTCCCAGCATGCACTGGGGCATGAATAGTCAAGGTTGCATTGTTTGACTGTTTGCTATTTTCATTTATGCATTTTGTTAATTTTGTTACATTTAGCAACTTGATGTCATGTGACAATCAGGACTAGTTTGTTCCTGTACCTAAAATGAGCAGTCAGTTGATTGTTACCTTTCTCTTGTTTTACCAAGTCTCGAGTTCTGCAGGCATTGAAACATGGCATGTCTCATCAGTGTTCATGTGATGGGTATTCACATCTCAATAGTTTAAGACCACAATCACTTTGACATGCACATAGAGAAAACAAGATATTACATACATAATATTGAACAATTTAAAAACAAATAAATGGATTGAAACAACTTAACCGTTACGTAATCTACATTTTAATTATAATAATTGTTACATATTACATCACAGCAACTTGATATTAAGTTTAGTCAAGACATTTAGATTAAAGCTGCAGTCCGTAACTTTATTTGGGTTAAAATGATCCAAAATAAAATTGAGCAAGTACAGTGGGTATAGAAAAGAATCAGCCCCCTTTAAAATAATCACATTTTGTTGCTTTGCAGCCTGAAATGAAAACGGACAAATATATTTTTTGTTTTATTCAGCTGTATTTACAACTTATAACATCCAAGTAAAAGATATAATACCAACTTGTCAGAATTTTTTTTTTTACAAATTAAAAAACAGAATCACTGAGTTGGAAAAAGAATCACCCCCCTCCTAAAAATGACTTGTAAACCCAACCAGGCGTAGTTAATCACCTTCTCAATAGCACACAAAGCCAATTGACTTTCAAATGTGATTAGTTGTGGTCATTTTGATTAGCTCAGCATGAAACAAGCTCTTCCTGAAGCATTTCAGTCCTTGGTAGTGCAACTGAAGAAAACAATCAACTATGGTTGGCAAGGCATTGTCAAAAGATCTCCGGGATAAAGTTGTGGACAGGCAGAAGTCTGGAGATAGATACAAAAAAAATTCAAAGGCTTTATCAGTGCCTAGAAGCACAGTGAAGTCTATTATTAAGAAGTGGAAGGTATTTGGTACAACACAGACCCTCCCTGGGTCAGGACGTCGCTCCAAACTGGATGAAAGAGCCAGGAGGAAACTGGTCAGAGAGGCTACCAAGAGGCCTACAGCAACTCTGAAGCAGTTGCAGGAATTCATGACAAAGAGTGGTCATTGTGTGCATGTGACAACAATATCACAAATTCTCCACAAATGTGGCTTGTATGGGAGGGTTGCAAGAAAAAAGCCACTCCTCAAGAAAGGCCACATGCAGTCACGACTGAGCTTTGCCAAAACACACCTTGAAGATTCTAGGGCCACGTGGAAAAAGGTGTTATGGTCAGATGAGACTAAAATTGAATTATTTGGCCTCAACGCCAAACGATATGTCTGGCGAAAATCCAATACAGCTCACCATCCAAATAACACCATTCCTACAGTAAAGCATGGAGGTGGTAATATCATGTTATGGGGTTGTTTCTCTGCAGCAGGGACTGGAGCACTAGTCAGGATAGAAGGAAAAATGGATGGGGCAAAATACCGTCAAATTCTTGAGGAAAATCTGCTACTCTCTGCCAGAAAGTTGTCAATGGGAAGAAGATTTACCTTCCAACATGACAATGACCCAAAGCACACAGCAAAACCACACAGTGGTTGAAGGAGAAAAAGGTGAATGTCCTTGCATGGCCTAGTCAGAGCCCAGACTTAAAGGAGCACTTCACCCATTTCAACATTAATCTTTATTGAAAGTGGGTCATATATGTAGTCGAAATGTAAAAGAAATTTTGAATTTGGTGCCCTCTTGACCGAGAAAAGACAGAAAATAACTTTAGGGCGCATTTGTGTGTAAGACCACAACTCCCAGAATGCACCACGTTGCACAGCTCCGCAAGCCACTCCCACTAATCCAGAACAGCGCAAAGTCGCAAACATCAGAGAAATCACTCTTTCGTCTACTCTACAGGGCTAACGTTAGCTGCCACCAGAGTTAGAAATTCATTTCACACAAAATGTATAGTTAGTTGGCTGTGGCGAGCAGGACGAGGGACGTGAGAGCGGCGCGAGGCCGGTGGCGTGAGTGATAATGAACGACACCGGTGAGACGCACCGGTCTCTCTCGCGTCTCTCACCGAGGAGCGGACGCATAAAACGAGAAGCGACAGGGCAGATCGAGAGAGGAACAGGCCTGATTTTATGGTGTGTTTTGTTTCTGTTGTGTGTGGCCAGCATTGAGGGGCTGCTGGCTTATACTTTTGTTTTGTATTTGTTTATTTTACTATTAAAATGTTTAAATGTTCGCCGATTCCCGTCTCATTCTTCCCACAACAACGAACCCCGTTACATTGGCAAACTCATTAGCGAATTAGCAGCTACTCCTCGTTTGTATTTCTTTCTATATGGTGAATTATTGCATGATACCTGGATGTTCCAGTCAGAACATATGGGGTGCGACACTAGGATGGTTCACATCACAACACAAACGTCCGTGTGCACATAACTCCATGTCCGTGTCTGCCTCTGACATTGTTTCTAGAAGGAATTGGCATTTTAGAGATTATTTGCAGCAGACAGACTCTAGCTCGGTGTCCATAGGCGCACAGTTACAGCACGAGCACCACCAATTCGCTACAGCGCGAGCAAGCCCGGGCTTCTCGTCTGCGCCGGGCTGGTCTCCTGCGGCGGCCGCTGCCGCAGCCGACGCCGCCGCCTCTTGTTCCTCCATCAGCCTCAGCTGCTCTTCGCTATATTGTGGCTCGTATAAATAGCCACGAACATCAGTTTCGAGCAAAAGATTTTCAAAATCCTCGTCTTCCATATCGTGTGTCGTAAATTCAGGCATTATGGTAAATCAAACTCCTTGAGCGCTTGTTAGCTTAGCTTGCTGTCTTCCAAGCAAGATGGCGGATTAATAGTTTAGTTTCTTCAGGTTTAGTCCCACCCACTGATCTGTAATAGGCCGGTGGGGTGAGTGGGTCCCACGCCCTTGAATAATAATGAGCTAAAGGCTGTAGTTTTCTTAATATGCAATGAAATTTATCTTCCGTCCTATCGTGACGCGAAATGACGATATTTACGTCACGATAGGACGGAAGTAAAACACTTAAATCCTTTTTTCTCCCATCTCAGAAAAAAAACAAGCAAAATTCCACCATCATTATAATATATGACTGGGTTTCTAACAATACAAACCTTAATGCAAATGGGTGAAGTGACCCTTTAAACCCCATTGAAAATCCACAAACGGTCACCATCAAATTTAACTGAACTTGAGCAGTTCTGCAAAGAAGAGTGGTCAAATATTGCAACGTCTAGATGTGCAAAGTTAGAAGAGACATATCCCAACAGACTAAAGGCTGTAATTAAAGCAAAAGGTGGTTCAACAAAATACTGAAACAAGGGGGTGATCCTTTTTCCAACTCAGTGATTGTGTTTTTTGATTTGTTTAATTTTTTCTGATATGTTGGTGTTATATCTTTCACTTGGATGTTATAAGTTGCACTGAGTAAATACAGCTGAATGAAACAAAAACTGTGTCTGTCTTAATTTTAGGCTGCAAAGCAACAAAATGTGATGATTTTAAAGGGGGGTGATTCTTTTCTATACCCACTGTACATAACCAGCCAGTGTTCAAAACTATCTGCTTGCCTCCGCTCGATTCTAAATGGTAGATTGTGATAATGTTTTTAATTCCAGTGGTACTGGTGGATTTCCGCGGGAGATTCGAGCATGTCTTTGCGTCATTACGTCACATCTGTACACATAAAGAAGGAGTCTCGGCTAGTAGGCTATATTGCGTGTGAGGATGCTGGAGGTGGAGATTTATAGCCTTTTCTCACAGCACTTGATATAATTAAACTTATCAATTTGATGGCGGATCCAGAAAGTTCGAACGACAATCACCAGTGACAACAGATTCACCCGCTGTAAAATGCTAAAGACTTTCGACTTCGGAGTGGCTACTAAGAGACTGCAACCGGCCCATGCGAAAACAAGGATGAATATCGGAATGGCATTAAATGTAGTCACACAATGCTGATGTTGTTAACATTAACAATTTGAGAACAAAGTATAATTTGCACGGTTTGACGTGATATTATAAGCAATCGTTAGATTTAATCAGCGCGATTTACTGCAATGCTTTTTTCCCCTACGTTGGTCAGAACAAAAGAGGATGTTGCTTACTTGTTCAGATGACATTTTAGGGTGAAAATACTTATGTTGGTCATATTTCCAAAAAGTAGAATTTGTGATTCTGAATGCCAGTATCCACACCGGCTCGGCGACTGACAGGCTCACAGTCTCCTCAAAACATTGGATTCATCCGCGCTGTGCCGTGCCGAGGCACAACCCACGTAAAGTTGATAATTCCACGAATAACTGCAATTGCAAATTTCGAACAGAGATGGCGACAAAGAGGAAAAAACTACGGACTGCAGCTTTAAGTAGATTAATTCTACTTAAAAAAGCCATGCACACTATTGCCTTTATTTTATAAGCGCTATACAAACACTGATGTTAATGCAAGTACATTTCCTACTATACGCTAAGCCTTCCCATGCATGTTCCTCGTGTCCTCTAGGCACACAATGAGGTGTTATGAAAATTTGAAGAGGTTAACCTTGAGCTGACCTTTCACTTTAGACACCAGAGACTGTTACAGAAATCTCTTTTATGAAGTCACAAGTTAAGCTCTGACATGTTCTGACATTCTGTAAAACGCAGATAAGATTCTAGAGGTATTTTTCCCTAGTACTGAGAAATACTTTTTCAAAGAGAAGTTTAGAATCTTTGTCCACTCACATGGAAATGTATCTTTAGCCCAAATAGGACAAAATCTATTCAGACATTTACATTCTTGTTTGACTTTGTAATGCAGCAATTTAAGAATAAATGCAGAATATTACAAATACCGTGGTCAAATACAGTGACTTAAAAATATACGATGCATTAGCATGCAATAAACTGCAATCCCAAATTTGTTTGCTTGCTTGCCAGACATTCCTCATATCTGTTAACATTTCTGAATGTTCATATTCACGTCGACCACCTATAGTTGTTTTCTTTCCGCTCAGTGTGCTGTCTCTCTTCAGGGTTCTGTCTTTCTTCTTACGAGTGATGTTTTCTGTCCTGGGTTCTGTCTTCCTTTTCAGGATCACTTTGTAGGGAGTGTCTTGACTCTTGTCTGTTGTTGTTTGTCTCTGTTATTTTTCTAGGGAAAGTTGGTTGCCTCCTATGAATTTGTTGTTCATGTTCAGTCAGTTGTGCTGTCAGACACTCCCCTTTCTAGTGAACGAGGTGCTTTGGTTTCATAACACAATTTCAATGAAAGGTACAGGACTGAATGGACTGTTTCTCTTCGGAATCAGCAGAGATTAAACAAAAATGCTGGTTTAGGAAAATAAGTTGGGCACTTTGGATCCGGGTCCTCTTTTAAGAAGACATCGGTGTGCCCCTGACAACATGCTGAAGTACAGGTGTTTATGAGAAGACAGGAACATCAAAACAACAATGAAGAATATTGACCTAATATAGTTACTGCACCGCAGTCTGGAGGGGTTTAATTGAAAACGCAGATGTTTTCCGTCTTTAAATGAACTCTGCTTCTTCTGTGTTTGATGCAGCATCTTTATATGGCAAACGCTCTCTCAGGAATGTACAAGATATTTTGAGGTAAGAACACATTTGATATTCACTGTGTTTTATTGAGCTTGAATAACTTTGACTTTTGACACAACTTGGATCTGGCCGATATGATAAGCTGATAATTATTTGCATGTTATGGGCGAGATAAAAATCGTATACTATTTTGTTTAAATGAATCGAAACTAAATACAATCGTTTTCACACAATTTTACAGTATGAAAAATGTATATTCCTTTTGGGATTTGCTAAAGATTACATTTAACAGTATTATTAAATTATTCATTTTTTAAACATTAACTTTAAGTGAGTGTTAGATAACAGCAAAGGTAATCTAAACATAAAAATGGAATAAATGCATAATTGTAAATATCCAATATGGTACTGTTATAATGTGTATTCCTAGTTATAAGTTTTGTCTTATCAATTTCAGAATATTTTTATTAAATGAATAAAGAATTTAGAGCTCTTCTTATTTTGTAACAGCACTGTCATCTATCCACTGTTCAATTGCTGTATATAGATATATACATTGTACATCTGTGTTACACCAATGTGTGGGAAATTGCCTGAAGTGGTATATTTGTTATATGAATACATGTACATGTGTTTATATATTCTATATATCAGACAAAGTACTTTTTTAAGTGTGTATACGTGCGTGATGTAGGCTTGTTCAGGCACCTGCCAGAAACCTTAGTCATATTTCCCATGCAAATACTGAATTGTTGACATGCCACCACATGGGTTGCTGGGCTGGTTTGCATGAGGTGGAATGTCACTGATGGGGCAATGAGGCAAGAGAAGAACGATTCCAACCAGAAATGGGTGAGACGGAGGAAAGCATGCAGAAGGATTTGGATGTACAGGAAGGGCTGGTCAGCAGTGTTTGGTTTCTTTACTTGATGTTTGCTGATGTCATCCACTCGCAGGTCATCTCTAGATTCTCCTGGTCTGTCCAGGTGGAACAGTTTTGCATCGACTGTCTCGATACCATCTGATGTCAGGTCAGAACTCCTTAACCTCCTTCACAACCTATCAATCATTCACTTTAAGACTTTGGATTATTGATATTCATACCAATGTTGTTGTTGTTTTGTAGTGTAATGGACGTTTTGAACGTACTAAAGGATGACCCTGAAGAATTGTTGCTAGATTTGGGTTTTGGCACGGAGGAGCCCGACATCACTGGGAGAATCCCGGCCCGATTCCTTAATTACGAGTCCAGCGCTCGTGGCATTAGCTATCAGCTCTTTCTGGAAGCTCAGCAGAACCGAATGGATGTTGAAAATGCGGATGTCAGCAGTAAGCAAGTTTCCTCAAGTTCACACAAAAATGGAATAATGAGTTATTTACTCAACCTCATATTGTTCCCAATCCATGTGACTTTCTTTCTTCCGTGGAACTCTGAATAGGAATTTCCGTGCGATTTCTGAATAATATCCAGGCCATTTATTGTGTATAATGAAAGTGAATGAAGATTGAGCTCCAAAATGAAAAAAAAAATAAGCATCACAAAAGTAGCTACAGTATATGACTTGTTTTCTCTATATATTCATACATTAGTTTTCTTTGAGAAACAAGCCTTAAAAGACTTGGGGCCTCATTTATAAACGTTGCGTACGCACAAAAGAAGGCGTACGCCGCTCTCTACGCAATAATTGGTATTTATAAAAAGCAAACTTGACGGTAAAATGTGCGGTCCTTCACGCAAGCTCTGACCCAGGCGTACGCACAAAAACGGGTGAAATGAGAAATGGCGACACCGTCGGCAGATGGAAGAAACACGTGAAAGTGTGTGAAACTGTAGAGCGTTGTGTAAAATAAATGGCAATACTGCCTCTCATAAATAACACGAAGACTTCACAAAGCAAGTCTTACAATTAACAGCCTACACGAACACCCGTTTGATCGATCTGCAACAGAAATGCAAATTAACACATATTTGCAAAAAGAAAAGTGAAATATGTTCTGCAATAATATTGGCATGTTATACAATTCATCCTCATAAATAAGATAGTAAACAGAACGAAATAATGTACAAAACTGATATTCTCGCCAATGTGTCCGTCAGGCGGAGCAGATATAGATGCAATTAGATAGATAGATAATTAGGGAGATAGATAGATAGATAGATGTATTATTTGTCCACTGGGGAAAGTTGTTTTCATAGTAAAAATGTCCTCATCAGCTACGGAATCATGGTATTCATGCATATGCCTTGTTTGTTTTACTTTTGATAAAATAACGTATGACGTAGACCTATGTCTCAACCATTCAGAAAGCTGCAAGAAATTACATTTGCGCTGAACTATTTCCCATTTCCAAGTAGATTATAACCGACATCTGTAGCTTGTCATTTCTTTTTTATTTCGGCCACAGTCCGAGGTTGTGAGGCTACAGCATTTACGGCGTCTGCAACCTTTTGCCACTCAAGTGCCTTTTTGGCATTAGTAGCTAATGTCCACACTGTGCCCTCCAAACAACATTTTTCTCCTCTTTTCCACCTCGCCAACGACAACTTCTACTTCACATTGAGTGAAGTTACGTTTTTTTATTTCCTCTCTATGTTTGCCATGATTTCGCAATCGATGAATATTAACTTATGGGCGTTTCACGGACTATTTATGGGCAACTATGGTCGTGACATGAAGCCGCAAAAGCTGCGCTACATTTAGAATTGATTGTGATTTATTAAGGGAAAAATGCGTAGGATGTGCGTGCGCACGGTTTTATAAATCCGAATATTTCTGTGCGTACGCACGTCCTATGTGTCATCCGTACGCCACTTCTGACGCAAATCCTACGCAAAGTTTTATAAATGAGGCCCCTGGAATGTAGTGCACAAGCTGGACCACTTTTTAAATGATGATTTTATGGTGCCTTTTCATACTTTTTGAAGCTTGAAATCTCCAGTTCTAATTAATTGTAAAATCTTGGCAAAAATTTCAATTAAAATGTCTCTTTTTGTGTTCCATAGAAGAAATAAAGTCTTACATATAGTCTTACATAATATTTTGGAGCGAATTAACCTTTTAAATATCTGTTCTGCATATCCACACTCTCAAAAATAAAGGTTGAAGAAGAACCTTTAACATCCATGGAACCTTTTCAATGCACAAATGGTTCTTTTTTTTTAACTGTAAAAGGGTTTTTAGTTTTATGAAATGTTCTACAAAGAAAACAAATGGTTATTTTAAAAACTGTTCACTGAAAGGTTCTTTGGGAAACCAAAATGGTTCTTCTTTGGCCTCTCTCTCTTCCTCCCGGTGTTCAGATAGGTTCAGACAGCTCGAGGTTCTTCAACAAGTCACGACGACGTTCTCCTCTCTGGTTGGTGCTCAGGATACGGACACATCTACAGCTTCCCAGATGTCTGCAGAGGCCCGGGAGAGGAGAAAACGCATGGTCATGATTCTGCGTAGGGCCTCCAAAAAGAGCCTCAGCCAAGCCCAAACGTCACAGAACCAGCACACCATCCCTTCCGTGACCTCCTCAGCCCCATCCGGCCCAGAATCCACTGGCACACCAAAAGCAGATAAAAGGAACCCTTCAAAACGCATAAGGATGTCGGACAATAATCTCTTCCCTCTAAAAGAGGAGCAGAGTGTTAATTCGGAGACAGCTGCGCCGGTTCTAAACAGCCCGACGGCAAGAGGAACATCAGATCTTCAGAAACTCAACTTTGTCCCTTCAACTGAGGGAATTCTGCAACAACCTATTGAATCTTTCGAGCTGGAAGAGGTATTAAGTCTGCAGTGATATCCTCTGTATGTACTTCCACATTGTTCCTTTTCTAATGTTGATGACTGTTTTCCAGATCCAGAGTTTTGATGAAGGAAGCATTCCTGGGAGCTGCAATGGCCCATTGGATCCTGGAGGTGCATGTCTTTTTAAAAAAAAAAAAAATTTTAACCCTAAAACTGCATAGTAACATGCTCACAACTACTTAGAACACCTTAGCAACCACATAGCGACCACCCTGAAATTGTAGTTAGCGAGTTTTGTACAGACTAACACCTGTACTACACAAACATAAACTTTCATTTGAGATGTTCCTTTTACTTCTTGAAAAGCGAAAGTTTTTAAAGCTGTGGGTTCAAATAATTTACATGGAACCATTTCCATTTCTGATATTAGGCAAATGACTCATGAGATTGCTCAGTCATTTTCATGTGTGCAGTAGGCTACTACCTACAGTTGATGTAATGTTCACCTCAGTTCGGTGGAAAAATGAACTTGTTTGTTTAGTCTGATCAAGAGGCTTTAGTGTCCATCTGAATGCTTGTGATATGTGGCACATGCTAATGGCTCTTGGTATCCATGTAGGTGAACGAATCGGGTCTTACGTGATGAGAACAAACAGTTGTCAGTCTGATAGCAGTGGCTTCCAAGAGGAGCCCTTCATACCTGCGCTGTCCCAGCAGAACAACCCTGGACCAGAGCTCATGAAGGTAAGACAAGTTTCAGCTCGCTCTTTCTTTACATACTGCTGAGGGTTCAAGCATTGCATTAATGGTGGTGCCATCGAGTAGTTTTTATCTGCCATTATGTTGCCCTCCACCAAGGACAGCAAGCCAATTATGTTTATTTACTACTCCGTTCAAAAATTACATGAACATGAACTTGTGAAATTACTGTAGGTACTGTATTTTTAGTCAAATAAATTCAGCCTTGGCAAGCGTGTAAAAGACTTCTTTTGAAACTTTTAAATGGTTCCATTTCGTATTGCTATTGGTGCATAAATTATTTGCAGCAGCTTTACCCAGTAAAGGTAGATGTAACTAATGTGTGGAAGTAATTTTTATTGGTCACATTGATCTATAAATGCAATATATATATATATATATTAGTGCTGTTAAACGATTAAAATATTTAATCGCGATTAATCGCATTAATGCCATAGTTAACTTGCGATTAATCGCAATTAATCGCACATTTTTATCTATTCTAAATGTCTCTTGATTTCTGTTTGTCCCATTATTTTTTTCTCATTTTAATGCTCTTATCAACATGGAAAAGTGGATCGGCTTGCTTTGTATATGCCAATGTTGTTTTCAATAAAAAACATTTGCACAGTGTTCAATTTCACACTAACATTCTCACTTGGAGCAAATAATCTCTCAATGTAACACTGTCCATCAATAAAAGGGTGAAAGAAATACTGAGGAGGTCCTGATATTGACGAGGGGGCGGAGAATTCGCATCAGCTGTGTGTGTGTGTGCTTGGCCATCATCAAGTGGTATTTCAGACTGGACGTGCTGCGATGGTGATAGCTCAGTTCACAACGACAAAACACACAGATCACTTTGGTCTTGTCAATGGAACCATTTGGCAACTTTTTAAAAGTAAACTTTCCATTCAGAATCTTATTGGCATCCATTTCGCCGTCTCGCGCTCGTCATCCACTCAAAACGTAACGTTAACCTATTATTTGGCCGGCTCGCAAGCCCAAACAAGTGTGTGCGGCGTGCCTGTTGTTTTGTTTCCGGTCTAGCTAGATCTGCCTGCGCTTTGGTCGACTAAGCAACAAAACGTCCTTGCGCGGCGCAAGCCATTGAAATGAATGGGTTTCATAGCGCAGCGCCGCGCATGCCGCGTCCTGTTGCAAAAGCATGTGAAAAAACTACAAAGTTTGCTAGGCCAAAAAGACCGTTAATCTCGCGATAAAAAAAATAACGCTGTTAAAATGGGTTTGCGTTAACGCCGTCAATAATGCGTTTAACTGACAGCCCTAATATATGGTACTATTATATTCTTTGAGGTACCTTGGTAAATACCCTGGTAAATGAATATTATAATCACTCCTTAGTACTTTACTTTTTTATAAGGGATGACATCCATATTTTAAAAAGGTCACAATTTACTGTATCATGAGCGGCCTACCAATATTATCTGAAACCGTGCTGAGTTTTAGACTATCTGACAACAGAGTGTTTATGAAACCTGTTTGGAAACAATATCTGTAGCTGTTGTAGTCATTATTTTTACTGTTACATTGGTGTTGCTACTGAAGCAGGAATCACGAATTGGCCCTTTAAGGATATTTACCACATGCTTGGGTGTGTTTATGAATATTTGTTTGATTTCCTGTGCTCTTTCTGCTTTTTTGCAGATGCTGAATGCAATATCACAAGATAGCACAGAAGGTCAACAGAAGAGACCAGAACAGCGAGAGGCGGAGGATCCCTCCACATATGAACACTCCCCTACGACACACTCTGGAAAAACTGCAGACTCTGGAAATATATTTGACTCCGAGTCGGGAGAACTGAAGAAAATAATGACTGAAAAAGAATACTCTTTGCCATCAGATATTAGTAAAGTTAGCAATAATGATGTTTACACTCTAGCATACTTTGTTCAAATGGATCCTGTTGGTTATCAGACTGAAATTTATAACAGACTGCAAGGATCAGAAAGTCCAGGCCGACGCGTTTATAGGGAAGGCATGTCCCTGTTTGAGGAACTGAAATCTGCTGAGACAAATTCACGCTTGTGTCCTACTGATCTGAGGACAGATGTTATGGAAAATGAGGTGGACAGCTTTACAAATCATCTCGAAGTAGGCAAGCGAGATCCGGACATCCTGATGCAGGAATATCCGGCCTCTACCCAGAGCAAAACCGTGACCTCTGATGATACTTCTGGACACAATTCCCCCACTGCGCTTAAACTCAGGAGAGAATCTTTCTCCAGGAGGTCCCGGTCTGACGTGGTCACGGATAATGACTCAGGAACAGCACAGACACCCACAACACACACGCCGTTCACATCTGTGGACACATCTCCTCCTCACTTGTGGAACTCTGTGGAATATTCTGGCGATCTTGGAGGTTTGCGCACGCGGTCGATATCTCTGGACACGGGACTGTCGTATGAGGAGGAGGATCACAAATTGCAGGGAGCATTGTGGGCAGGGACACAGCGATGTTTCCATTGCGGGTCTCAAATCAACTACGACAACAGCTGGGCAAAACCTCAACCTGAGCTGTCCTCCAGTCTGCCTGTAAGTAGAAGTTGCTCTACAAATAATCATTATCCTACACTATGACTGACAGGTTTGAGGGAAATTCCCATTATGCTGTATATTGTACATTTTAAGTTATTAGGAATGCTCAATATATAGGTAACATATTGATTATTGGTTGATCTTTCATTTTTTTTAAATGATCTTATCAATATTGGTCAATAATAAATATTTCATTGTTCAAGCTCATTTTCCCTATTTTTATCATCTAACACTGGCTTGAATTAATCTTTTAAAACACTTATAATAACACTGTTAAATGGAATCTTTAGCAACAAGAATATTCAGTTTTCATACTGTACATTAAAAGGTGTGATGCCTAAATTAAATTGTAGCATTTATAACTGTTTAACTATTTAGACAAAATTTTATGATGCATTTTAAAACAGTTCATTTAATGATTATCAGCCATAACGTACTGTAAATCATTGTCTTTTCGTTATCGGACAGAATTTTGTTCTTGGTGTGTCCTTATGCATCAATGTTCTCATTCATGAAAATCATTCTTTGTTCATTAGAGATCGACTGAAATTTTTTATTTTTATTTTTTATAACCGATACCGATTCCAATTATGTGCAGGTTTATGTGCCCGATAACCGATATGCAGAACCGATATTTATTTACTGTTACACTTCTGTTTTTGACACAATGATTACAATACCTCTGAACTGAACAAATCGTTTTATTTTTTAACAATTTTGTCAATATCACTCCCTCCTTGCATACAAAACAAAACAACTCCTATTTATACACCAATAAATAGAGCGGTCTGAAAGAGTGCAAAAAATAAAATAATAAAGTGCACTGTTACTAGTGTCTTTTTCAAAATAAAAGCTTTGATGAGGTAAACAAGCTAATGCAGCACAAAAATAATTTGAATCATTTAACCCTCTGGGGTCCTTCGGCCCAAATGGACCCGAAGCATTTAAATAAAAAATTTTTTTTAAATCATAGCTTTATCGGAATGGTCCGAAATTTGGTGACTTTGTTGGTACTTGTTATATGAACACCCAAAAAATTGGGGACAGGATTTGAATAGTCTAAGTTGTTGTAAAAAAAATAGTCACACCCGCATAGGAAATGAATGGGAAATTGGCAAAAATGTGAAAATACAGAGTTTTTTTGCGCGTACAATCTACAAATCAGCCACGATCCAGAAAAAAAGCACACAACAGTGAAGGGGTGAATCTATAAAACATCAAGAGTGCAAAACAGACACATCCACACACACACACACACATACACACACACACACTTTTATACACATACACACTAATAAATTCAGATTACATATGGGTTTTGAATTTTTAAAATGCTCAGTTTGTCCACCAGATGGCATCCATCTCATTTCAAAAATTGCTTTCATGAGGCCTAGGCTTGACTCTAAAATGAAATACAGCTTTAAATTTTTTTTAAAAAAATTAAAAAAAATCTATTATATTCAATGGGGAAAAAATGGGTCATAATTATTGCATTAATATTAATTATAAATCATTTTTATTTTTGAAATTATCTCAAAACACCAAAAAAGAAAAGGAAAAAATATTATAAAAAACAAGTAAAAAAAAAAAAAAGATGATTTTTTAAAATAAATATTAATCCCACCCTTCCGGCCCATTTGGACCCGAAGGTCCTGAGTGTGACTCTGAAATGAAGGACCCCAGAGGGTTAAACCATTTCAACATAAAATGTTGCATTCGCAATACATAGGCAGTTTACAAACATATTTCTGCGTAACCATTTTTGTAATATGTTGTTACACATAAATTTGTTGTGCTGTTTCATGAACGAGGCCCATTGTCTTTAAATGTGGTTTCACCAAGCTCCTCCTGATTGATGTTGGAGGAGCTCCTCATTCGAAGTATAGAGTTCCATGGGTTCTTTACCACTCTTGAGTTTCCTCTGATTTTAAGAACAAATTAAGATTAAACATTTCTATTTTGGGAAAAACTCTTCTACCCCTTAAACATCTGAGATTAAAAAAAGCTTTGTGCCCTGCTTATGTTTAATGAGGTTCATTTGAATTTGTATAGTTCATTTGCATGTGTAATGGAAAACAGTAGCGAACACTGACCACTTCAGAATCTTCACAGCATTTAAGTGTACACACACGGAAACCCATTTTACGCACATCCTCGGTTACACAATTTAAAAAAAAAATAAAAAAAAATCCTTTTTCATTTTAAGTTTTAAACAAGTTTTTTTTTTTGTCTATATAATTTTTTTTTCTTTTTTTTTTTCTTGGTTTTAACTTTAATATGCTATCCCTGGTTGACCAGTTGGACTAACAGCTTATGGTACTAATGTCAACACAGTAGACCACCATGATCACATTTAACACTGGTGGATCGCTTTGGTTAAGATGTGCTGAACGTGTTCCAGCTGTTATGCTTCCTTTAAAAAACACATTTTTCCTGGTTATGGAATGTATCTCTCCCAGCAACAATATCCTTCTCTTTCACTTTCTAGTACTCTCTGGATGAGCTTGAAGACATGGTGAAATGTTTGAGGAAGTTCCGAACAGTTCTGACGGAAATTGAAACTAGACTAGAAGAGGAACAAGCATCCGTGCTCGGATCTCTGTCAGACTCCCACAGGTGAACTTTGCTGTCATTATGGATATCTCATTGATTTTATAGTGTTCCTCAATAGGGTGTAAACTGATTTTGTGTTTAAGGGAGGAAGTGGAAGATGTTTTTAGGCTACGAGCAGCTGTCAAACAGGAAGCTGGGACGCTTGAAGAGCAGTTGTCCGATCTGGTGCATCACTATGATGGTAGCATCAAAATGGTATTTAATCTACTCATATATGCTAAATATATGGTTTATAAACTAGGGCTTGCCACAGAAATTGACAAAAAATTGTTCCAAGTATTTCAATACAGAGCAAAACTCTTTCACTTTGTTACCAACCAACATCCTTCAGCAGTGAAGTGTATTGAATGGACAACAGAACAGCATTTATTTTGATCCCTGTACTGTTATGCTTATAGAAGCTGAATCGGCTCATGGATGAACAGTCACAGCTGTGCACCCAACTGCGAATTACACCCTCTAATACACCCCATTCAGAACCCACCTCGACCAGGAGTGTGGCTATTCAATGCTGCCTGCTGCCCGTGACGTCCAGTCCACAGAGATGTGTCCATCATCACTGCACCTGTCATGGGAATCAGGGAGCAGCATGTCGAGATCCACACCGGTTCCCTTGTCAAACCCAGTGGGAGGCCAATTGCAAACCAGACAGACTGGACTTAGTAGCTTTTATTAAAAGTGTAAGAAATATCTTATACCCTCATCGGGAATAATTGGATCTGACAATGGTTAACATTCTAGTGTTGTTAACTGTGCACTTTTATCTTTCAGCTGAAAAATTCATTACAACATTCGATCAACAGTAACTCACTGGAATAAGGTTTGCATTAATTTCAGTTCAGTTTCTGTTGACATTTTTCATATAGTTAATGTCTATATCTAATTTAACTAAAAGACAAAATAATTTTGGGATCTGAACCTAATTAGATTTTTTTAAGTGCAGACAAAATACAAAATGGATAATTCTGGTCTTTCCTTTGTTTTGTTGTAGTAATGCAGCCAATGCAGTGATGAAGACCTGAAGATCCTTATCAGTTTTTGAAGTGCTGACTCTTGAGTTCAGAACTAATAAAGAATCATGTATATAAATCACAATCGTGTGTCCAGATGAGTTTATATGTGCAGTGTGCACACACATCTTATGTAGCACGAGCCTCCTCCCAGTAGCCCTACGCTCTTTCCCTCTCCCTCCTTATCTCGTTGTCTGTAATAAACCACTTCACTTCATGGTGGCGCTGCACTGACCGTATAAGGAAACTGCTGCTGAAGAACTAGAGCTTCCTTTCTCCTCCAGTGGACGACACAGTGCTGGTTCTCCTGTCTGACTGGACGATGATCTGATGGTTCCTGAGACACTTTCCGAGAGTTATGGCCCAATCTCAGGAAACAGTGTCATTTGCTGCGGAAAATTTCAGTACTTTTAAAAATATTTATAAATAAAGAACGTTTAAAAACGTCAGTGAACTCAAAATAAATCATATTTTCCTAATGGGGAATCATTATAGACAGTGGCAGAGTCAGCCCATAATTAAAGTGCATAAATATTTATAATAGTGGTCTACAGTATTGCCTTCTCAGTAGCCAGTTTAATATTGGTACATAACTATAGTTTAAAAGTTAAAATTATAAACTGGCTACTAACCAATACCATTTCAAGGCCGTTACAGTAGGTTTGGCATTCATAAAATTCACAATTGACTAAATAGCCTACTGTGGCGTAACGAAATCACACATTAGTCATAACAAAACGTGTAAAAAATAACTTACCTTTTGCTTACAAACTATTCACTGTTCTGCCCTGCAACAGAGCGAACTTAAACTGGCTTGAACAGTTAGGCTACTATACGAAACTTAGCCTAACGTTAACGTTACCTGTTTGTAACATTATCAAAAACGCGTCGTTGTTACTTCCTCAAATATGTCAGAAATGTAAAAAAAATCCTTCTAATGGGCTCTATGCACGGCGGTATTTCCGGTGAAGGTCTAAGGATGCTGGATTACTTCCGCCGATCGTAGAGTCCAATGCTATACCGAGAATTTATATTGGTTTTTATACTCTATTGCTATACTAAAGAAACGTTAGTCACAAAAACAGACAAAACAGACACCCCCCCCCCCCCCCCCCTCCCTCCCTCCCTCCCTTTGTTTATGCTTCTGTGTTTATATTAAATAAACATAACTATATATAAAATTACATCTAAACGTATTAAAGTTTCGTTTCAAAGACGAGAGGACAGTATATTTTTAAGACTCTGCCATAATCCCGTTTTCCTCCGCTTTAAATCTCCCCAACCGGAAACGAAAGAGCATCCTTGCGTCAAACGCGGAAGTTATGCGTGCATATAGCCCATTCGTTGTACTACACCGTAAACTAGGGTAAATTTATCAAATAAAGTGTCAGAATTTAAACATTTAGTGAGAATGAGCCATGTTTAACGGCTCTTTCATCCCTTAGGGATCATGTGTAAAGTGCCACACTGTATCCTTATTTAATTAGACCAGGTTTTTACTTTTACATTCATGTTCTTGGCAGACGCTCCCTTGACTTATGTGGCGTTGGCATATGAATGAATGAATGTCGTGTTTAAACTGGGTAGAGAAGTGCATTAAAAATCAACAAAACCACTTCACACACTCTCCATACACACTAGACAAGGGAGGAGGAAACCCCATTCACATCAGAGGACAATAGAAAGACATCAAAGCCTGTCAGCAAACAATGTCCACATTGTTTTTAATTATTATTCATTTTCTCTTGTTCACGCTCTCCATTGTGCTAGTAATGAGAGTGTGTGGATGCGTCTTAAATTGCAGAAATGGTTTATTGTTATCTTAAATATTATTATTTATGAAGTAGGCCTAGAATGATTTGATCGAAAGCAAATCGTTTAGTGGGAATCACTGCATTGACAACATTCTGTGTTAACACAATCCATCTTAACCAGCCTCACCTCCAACATGTTCAAATCACAGCAGAAAGTGTTGAAGTAGTTTCATTTACCTCGATGACGTGCGTTCGTGGAAGCTGGGATGACTGACACATGACAAGGGCCCCTGTCACCATGACAACATGCTCTAATGGAGGCCCCTCCTCCTAAAGTACATAACCCCTGTCTCTGATCTGGCCTGCACTTGCTCCATCTCTCTGCTGCACCGAGGTATGGCCCTCTCCCTTTCTTTTAATACACATCTTTAGTTTCTTTCAGAATCTACATACATTTCAAAATATTTTAGCAAGACATTATATTATATTTAAATAAGTAAAATGTTTACAATGTTTATTCAGTGTGTTTAGACTGTTCAAAGTGTATTTTAAAGTATTGTATGTGTGTGTTTGTATATATATATGCCAATATATGCAATACTTTTAAAATATACTTTATTATCTATATGTACAGCACATATATGGCTATTTATGTGTTATGATTTAATTTTAGATGCACACATCAAATCAAAATCAATTGAAGCAAATCCTACTTATTTTAATATACTTTAGATATTTTCATTATATGTTTTATATGAATGTGATGTTTTTAAATATTATTAATGAGTATCTTACATTGCATTTGAATAAATGCAATATTAATATTCATCCGTGCTCAAAATGCCTTAAAATAAAAGTATAGATAAATAGATTTTTTTGTGTCCCAAAACCTGTTTTCCATTGCTGTCATATAATGAGTGATGAATCTGTTTCTTGTTAATTTATTGGGATGCATTTAAGTATCATATTTTGCAATGACATAATTACATTCAGAACCCAAATACCAATAACATGATCGTCATTTTGTGAAGCGAGAAGCAGCTTTTGTTGAATCAGTTTGCTACCATTCTCAGGTCTAATAATGCTTTCCAGTAAATATGACAGAGCCTTTGTCATGTACATGAGTGTGTGTGTGTGTGTTGAACACGAGCTGTTATCTGATACCTGAGCAGACTGCTGTGGGGAGCATGTCCACTGACTGTGTGAGGTCACTCTCAGACAAAGCCGAACACACACTCACCATGCACGAACATCTCTGTAAGTAGAGTATTATATCTGCATGCACAATGTTTTTTTTTAAGGAAAAGAAATACACAATGACATTGGAAGGGTCAAAATTTAGGTCAACAGCATCCACCGGGAGTAAGAAAGACGGGAACAGATGGCGACAGTCTGACTGATACATACAAACCAGTGCTTGTGAACCAGTTTCTGACATGTTCTCCCGCAGATGGGAACGCTGAAATAATGGACAATCAGAAGCACAGCTCCGAGGAACATCAGCAGGACAAACTGGGACAGAAGAAACCCCGCAGGAAAGACACTCCCGTTCTCAACAGCCCTCCACTCATACCAGGCAAGACTTTGATTTCTCGCTGTCATCTTTTCACTGTCACCCTCACGCCCTCTCCATCCATCTCTCGCTGTCTCTTTGTCTCAGTTCCTTGCGTTTGTCTTTCGCAGGCGTGAGATTGATGAAGACAGAGGCTCGAATGATTCATCAGGAGGATGAGGAGAAAGAGATGAAGAAGTAGATGCGTGTTCGAAACATTCGGTTTTCACTGTTGTTTGTGTTATTTTTGACCGTTGACTGAGCCTTCATTAAATGTAGGTTTTGCAGATATTTTTTTGAGTTGTCATGTCGTCATTTCAGTGCTATGCTGTAGAAACACAACTTAGAGTGAAGGAAACAACACTCATTTAATTACAACATTGCAGCATAAATATTGGAATGCATTCATAGCAGAAACAATGTCTGTCTACCAGCAGAACTAATACATTTATTCTGAAAGCGATATAGTATGTAACATGGTACATGTACAGGTGTGTTAGTATAAGATAATGTTTGAACAGGAGGTTACATTAAGGTAAATCTCAAGAAACCTGTCAATAACATGTTCAGGTCATATTTCACCCCGAAATCAAAAAGGAAGGTTGGGGACTGGGAAAGAAATTATATTTTGCTATTACCGTAAGCAGGTTTTGCTCCCTAATTCTCATTATGTTAATACAAAAAAGGAAAAGTATTCATACATCATGTTAGTGTTTGTTGTGCCTTTGATTAATGTTGATTTAAATAAATACAAAAATATCAAAATAATTGTATCAACACTTTTTAATATACATATTGCTGTTTTTGCAGCTTTGACTTGCCATAAGTACTCCATCAGTTTAAAATCAATTATTGAATATATATTTATATGTATATATATATATACACACACACACATAAATAAATAAATAAATATACAGTATATACTTGTATATACAGCAAGTGCTGGGCAACGATTAATCACATCCAAAATAAAAGTTTGTGTTTACATAATATGTGTGTACTGTGATTAATTATTTTATATATATATAAATACACACACATGCATGTATATATTTAAGAAAAATTTGTTATTTAGATATAAAATATTTATATATCATATAAGTAATGTATAAATATGTATATACAGTATATACATGCAAATATTTCTTAAATATATACATGCATGTGTGTGTATTTATATATACAAAATAATTATTCACAGTACGCACACATATATTATGTAAACACAAACTTTTATTTTGGGTGCGATTAATCGCTGCCCAGCGATATATATATAAAAAAATGTTGATACAATTATTTAAAAAAATATATATATTTAAAGAACATCTATTTAAAAAAAAAAACATCTTCGGGGAAACTGCTAAATTGTTTATAACAGTAATGTCACAATGCCAACAATCTTGTTGTATTGTCTTTATGCAAAATATAATTTTCTTGTTCTTTTTGATTTTGGGTTGAACTGAAATAACATCACGTTAACTACAACATCACTGCAGAACAGACCTATTGCTGTGTGTGTGCAGTGCTATCGCTGGGGTCCGGGTCACCTCCCCCGTCTCAGAGAGATGCTCTGGAGATGTCTGGCCTTGCTACGGGGGTCTGCGGGGTTGCTGTCCTCTTTCTGCGGCCGGGAGGGCAAGTAGGACTTGGCACAGTAACTGGGTTTTTTACTGTATCTGACCAGGTGGTATTTGCGGCGGGTCGTAGCTGCAAAAGACAGAGCAGAATCTTAACGAGGAGGCTGAACTATTCATATCTGTACATTTAAAAACAAAGGTCCGATATACCAAAAATAAAGACTCAAACTCATCATCTGAGCCCTTTGAGTAAAGATTTATTGTCACAAAAGTGCAATTAAGGAGCATTGAAACAAGCATGATCACATGACCACACCTGCCTAATGATTTGATATTTTTCTTTTTGAAATAAAAAGTAATGAATGCATCAACAGACATTAGTGTAGAAAAAAACAAAATTAAGATAAAAAACAATATCATGACAAATTACACTCTGGGAAGTAATAAACAGGTAAACGAAACAATTTGTGTGTATATAAAAATGTCTAAGAGCATGTTTGACTGCAGTGATGCAGTACACTAGATGGCCAACAGATGGCTGCACAGCACCATATGATTTATGTACTGCTGATCAGAATATTCTTTTATGAAAATGCTCCGTGTTTGAGTGACGGTGAAGTTAAACTGTACGTGAGGATTTCAAACCAAAAAAGTAATAAAAATAGCTTAGTTTTGACACAAACAGGTTTCCTGACAAACACGTATGTACTGAACACATGACAGTTAGCCTACTACAAAGCCGACGTAAACACTCATTAAGGCAGAATCTCATTGTGCCATATTTACTCATCAACTTCAATATTCTATAAATGTACAGCAGTTCACCTAAATAATCTCACATTCTGAGCCTAAACAAGGTTAAAAAGGACTGATATGATATGTATCATATTCCATCTGTTACCGCCTTATCATAACTCTCACTACATGCTTGATTTCTGCATAAAGCAACATGTCACCAACTCTAAATAATAAAGGTTTCAAAAGAGGGGTTTACCATAGAACCATTTTTGGTTCCCCAAAGAACCTGTCAGTGGGCAGTTCTTAAAGGATCCATTTGGTAACGCTTTATTTCAATAGTCCACTTTAGACATTCGATAAGTGACTTTGCAACTACATGTCAACTAGCAGTCATTATTAGTAGACTGTTTGCTTAATATCTGATAACACTTTATTTTGATGAACAGACATTCTACTGACTATAAGTAACTTTGCAAGTATATGTCAACTTATTCTATTAACCTGAACCCTAACCTAACAGTCTATTAATATTCTAATAAGAGTTAGTTAACATGTAGTTGCAAAGTTACTTATAGTTAGTAGAATGTCTAAAGTGTAACCAAACATTTCATTCTTAGAGTGAAGAACATTTGAAAATTTCTAAAGAAAATGTTCCATGAATGTTAAAGGTTCTTCATGGAACCATCAATGGCAATAAAGAACTTTTGTGTAAAATTAAATAGGGGGGCATTAACCCCAAAAAATAAAAAATAAAAAAAAAATCATATATAATATTCATAATATTTTATAATGGCACAGTATCAACCAATCAAATGAGCTTTGCAGACTGAACTTGAGCTTTTCCAGTAAAAAACAAATCTCTCAGATCTGAAGAAAACGTTGAAAACGAAGAAAAAAAAAAGGTCAAGATATGATTCATGACCCAGAACCAAGGACAACTAAACACGACACAAATGACAACAGAGAATAACCCACAAGGATCAGGAATTAATAACAGATTTAAGGCAATAACGCTTCTTTCTTTTTTTATCTTTCTTTCTTCAATGACTCTATAAGTATGCATTGAATGATGGCTTGCAGTGACCTCCAGTTAAATGACGTACAGACATTATAATCATCTTTGGTTGAGGCAACAGACATTTACACAGGATTTCGCTGCCTATTTATAACAGCCTATATTAGGAGGCCTTTACTTTTCTTTTCTTTTTTTTCGTTTTACATCATTTTTGTTTTCTACATTTGACCATTTATGTATGAAACTAATATACAGAAAGATTCACATGAACAGGTGCATTATACTGTGTGTGACACACACTCTGAGAAGATGGCCGGCACAGACAGAGACATAAATACCTCGCTAGGACAGTGAACTAAAGACTAATATATCCGCATGCAGCATCTAACACATCAAGATGCTCGTGCTCATACTTTATTCTATTTCTTCATTTACCAGATAAAAAAAAAAAATCCTTTTTATCTCTGTTAATTCTCAGAGATTTGAGTAAGCATGAATAGTACAATTCATCTATATTGTTCATACCAAATTTCCCTATAAACACTTCATAAATAATATAATATTTTATATACATCAAATACAAAAATAGAAGAGAATTCAAAATACAACCTAATGTCAAAATAAGTACATGTACTGCATTTTTAACGACAATGGTTGCAGAGGGTTGGGAAAAGAAATTGGCCTAATAGAATTGGCTCATATAAGAAAATCAGACAGATTTTTCTTTTAAAGGGCGGCTATTTTAATGCATACAGCAGGGTTCAAAATTCTATAGTATTTGTTCAATTTAATGCAAAAAATATATATTTAAAAATGATAATGTACTAAATATTAACAATTAGATTTTTTTCCTATGTAATTTCACAATATCCAGCTGATATAGATGCATGTTGTGCAAATCACATACGACAACATAATTTGAATATTCTATCAAAATTACGCCGTATTGTGACAGAACTGATTATTTGTGTGAATAATCAGTCTCAATGAGTTGAAAAAGTCTTCTATGATCAAAGTGACATTGATCGTTAAACTAACGATCAAACCCCCAATCACAAGAATCTCCTGAAACAGAGGACACACGTGATGGAAACTGTACAGTATCAACATCAAAACAGGACGGCAGGAACATCAAATCCACAACTAACACAAACAATGATAAAAATAAGAGGTAAATGAACACTAGTTCTGCAGACATTCTTTGACGGCCCGTTGAAGGTGGTGTGAGGGGCTGAAGCTCTCCCTCCGTTCACTGTCTGTGCAGGTTTGGCAGATGTTGCGCCGTCCCCGTCGGAAGAACATCGGGATGCTTTCCACAGTCATCTTCATGTGTGACAAGAGTTTCTAAAACCCACCGTGCGTCTCTCTGCGTTAACAAAGTCTCAGTTCTCTGATGGCCTTGTGCATCTCTGAACCAAAAGCTGGCAAACATCCTTAAGGTCGGATGTGAATCAAAAAGAGTATGAAAAAACGAATGCGAAGATTGTCCATCAGAGACAGAAAGATGTGATTTTAAGAAAGAAAACATCCTCAAAAAAGAAAAGAAAAAGATGAATAATAAAAAAGAACCACCAGGTGACAGCATAGCACAGGGTTTGGAGTCCTGCAGAAATGGAGCTGCTAGTTTGCATCGGCTGCCAGTGAAGACGAGGAGATCCCACAGTTACTGTGCTCGTCTTCAGAGTCTGCAGAGGAGAGCAGATATTGGCCACATTTAGAGCTCATGTTCCACAGCTCTGACTGATGGGACAGGGGAATGAGGTGATACCACAACTCACATGCCACGAGGTCAGATGGAGGGAATTGAACTTATTTTGATGAATGAACTGGTCTCTCCTTATCTACCGTTTGCTGCTGGATTCATAATGACTTTTAGGGATACTTCAATGACAAATGTATTCTATCATTATGCCGTTCCAAACCCACATGATTTTCTTTCTTTAGTGGAACACAAAAGGAGTTATTTTGCAGAATGTCTTGGCTGTTCTTTCATACAACAAAAGTGGGACTAAAAGCACCAAAGAAAGCACGGAAAACTATTAGTCATGTTAGGACATGCAGCAAACAATGATGTTTGACTTTACATCTTGAACGGTGGATCTTGTTTTGTTACAGTATGTTTGAAAGCACTCCAGAACAAGTACTTTTTGTCTTATTTTCCAGCTAAATGTATATATAAAAGTCCTTGAATCAAAATACACCATCGTTCAAAATATTCTTTATAATTAGTTTTGTTTTGTTATTCAGCAAGGACGCATTTAAACTGTTCAAAAGTGTCAGTAATCAGAAATTTATGTTACAAAAATGTATATTTCAAATAAACACTGTACTTTTGAGCTTTCTATTCATCAGAGAATCCTGAAAAAATAGTATCACGGTTTCCCACAAAAATATTAAGCAGCACAACTGTTTTCAACATTGATAATAATAATAATAATAAATGTTTCTTGAGCATCAAATCATCATATCAGAATGATTTCTGAAGGATCATGTGACACTGAAGACTGGAGTAATGATGCTGAAAATTCAGCTTTGCATCACAGGAATAAATTACATTTTTAAATATATTCAAATAGAAAATACTTTATTTTTGATTAACTAAATGCAGTGAAAGAAAGTCATACAGGTTTGGAACAACACAAGCAGAGTAAATGGTTTCCTTTTTGAACTATTGCAAGAATGAGAAATGCAGAGGTGGAAGAAAATGCATCAAGGTGTCAAACCAACATAATGTGTTTTTTTTTTTTCTGGGAGGAAATGAACCTGAAGTGACTCTCCTGCAGTTAGCGGCTGAATCCCAATCGACATACTATCTGTTCTACCTACCTAAAATCATAATAATGTTGAAAAAAGTATGCTAAAGGTGCCTGGATAGCAAACTACTTACATTGGATTTTTAGAGGATTGTATTCCTGGATGTTTTTTGGATCAGTGTGACTCCCAAGATGATAGTTTCTCTGATGTGTTATGGGAGTGCAATTTTATGATGCTGTAGTCAGTGTAGTACACTGTGTCCTACTCCTAACCAGATTCAACACAATAAAAACTCAATAAAAGCTCTTCCATAGTAATTTGAGTTTTTGTTCTAACCAAGAACAAGACGATCTGTGCGCCACTTATTTTAGACTTCTGTCATAATGATCTGGGTAGCTCCGCCCTCAGTGAAATCTCATTGGTCAAAACATCAGATATGTCCTCATTTGCTGTAATTTTGGTTTTCAGCTTGGACATGTTTATACGCCTGGTTAGAACACAGTGTTCATTGTATAAATTAGGATTCAGCCACTATGTGATGCAGTTAATAGCCGTTAAAGGAGTTACCGTCTGATCTCTTGCTTTCACTGTCGTCACTGTCAGGTGAGTTCAGTTCCTCGTTTCCTGACATTCAGATAAGACACGCGTCACTAACCGAGTCTGCTTATGGCATACAAACAGACAAACAAACAAAGAAAAGACAAGTGCTTTTCTAACATAAGCACCCATTTCGCCTGCTACACTAACTATTTAACAGCATTATTGCTCTCTGTTTTTTTCCTGCAAGGTTTTGTTTGAATTTGTCAAGTGTGCCCTAAGTTGCCAAAAAAACTAAAAACTTTTTTTTAGCTACAGTAAAAGATGAACATAAATGCATATACAGAATTCAGAATACTGTAGCACACAGTGCTTTCAAACCACAATACAAGCTACATTACAGAGTAACATACTAGTAAGTAACTAAGTAGTATACACTAGTTAGTACACTAGTTTGAGGACATTAAAGGCCCCGATATACTTCAAGCGAAAACGAAGAATGAACTGGTAATTTTTAACAAAATCAGGCCAAAACAAAGTTCATATCGGGAGTTTGAAAAAGCACACACTGGAGAGGTGCTTTATAGTAGAAAATGAAGTTGTAATTCTAATCAAAAGTAAAACGGTCACTGTTTTTTATGTTTAATACGGTAAAGCTGCTGCTTTAAAGCAATCTATTGTATAAAGTGCTATATAAGTAAACGTGACTTGACTTGACTGGAGTGCCGAATTACAGAGCTTGTGCAAACAGATTTACATCATATGCTTTCTTAACTGCTGTTTTCTCACTACTGTTGTTTGTGCTGTATTGTGTGGTATTGAGATGAAAGCGTGCATCACATTTTTAAACATTCATCTAACGGCACACTCAGAGTGGGCAGCGTTGGGATGTTCGCTAATAGTATACCGCTGGTCACGTATTTTGACCTTCTTTTCACCTTTAAGCAAAGAATGAAAAGGAACTTTCTTTGCCTTGAGTATATCGGGCCCTAAACAGTAAACTACACATTAAATGGCAATCTATACACCATACTGCATCCTATAAATATTGTGTGTATTGTATACACTATAGAGTACACTCCACAACATTGACCACTCTACACATTATGAGAAGAAGAATTAGAGTGCGCTACAAGTATACTAAAAACTATTAAGAACAAAGCCACCTTATTTCCAACATGTAAAAGTTTGGATGCGACAGTGCTTGGTTACAACACAAACAATGACAATGGTAAGCTAGGAAAAAAGTGGTAAAGCAAGTATAGTATAGCTTATGATAGTAATAGACTGATATATTGGCATTGAAATATTGTTTATCAGCATAGTATGATAACAGTTCTTTTCCAAAATCTTGTTTTGCTTTTTTTTTTTTATATTAATTTTGAGGAAATGTTTTAAATGAATTAAAATTTATTAGGAAATATAAAATTAAATAAATACAAATTCTGACATTATTTACACATATAAATGTAAAAAACCCGAAATATTCTATTGTTAAAATTCAACATAGTATTTTTAATTATTATTTATGTACTTTAAAAAAAAAAATATTTACTTCTGCTATCATCCAGTCAGTCTCTAGATATCGAAATTGGCCATTATCATAACCCATATCAGTCAACCACTAGTTTATTTCATGTATAATGTAAATCAAAGGTCACCAAGTACTCTAAAGTATCAGTCAGTACAGGTGTTTTGGTTAGGACACAAAAGGCACCACATTTTGTTAAGAAATATGAACATAATATTGCAAATAACAGTAATTGTAAAGAACTGTTGTAAACTTTGACACTCACCATTGTGTGCTCGCAGAGTGTTGTCCGTGTCACTGCTGGTCTCGGGCTCTTTGGCATCAGACGCTGGTGTTTGAGCCCCATTCACCCCCCCTGGGTCTTTATTGCCCTCTTCCTCTCTGGGCTCCTTGTTATCAACTGTAGCTTTGCTTGAATCTTCTCGATCTGTCTTTGCATCCTTCTCTTCTCTTGTGTCTTCCTTCAGTTTGTCTTGAGAATTCACACTCGAGTCCGTGTTGATTTTGTCTTCTGTTTTAGTATCAACATCTTTGCTGTCACTGCTGTGTGTGTCTGTGTCCGTTTTCTTTTCTTTCTCCTCGATCTCTTCCTGTTTAGCCTTCTCTTCTAGATCTAACACACACAAATGCAGGTCCTTATTACTGAATATGGGTGACAGGATTTGTCGTCGCACTATCAGGCTTCTGATTTAAATACACTATTGTTCATATATGGTCAAATACTGACAATTTATTTTTTAATGTGTTTGAAAAAAGTCTCTTTATTTGATCAGTATACAGATTGTACTATTGTGACATTATTATTAATTAAATGTCTATTTTAATATATTTTAAAATTTATTCCTTTGAATAATTCCTGAATTTTCCAGTCTTCAGTGTCACATGATCCTTCAGAAATCATTATAATATGCTAATTTGAACATTTCTTATTATTATCAATGAGAATCAATGTTGACTCCCTGACGAAGGCTTATATGCCGAAATGAGTCGGAGTGTTTTAAAGGTTTAAGATGACCAAGCCATAACAATAAAGGCTTTTTAATTTTTCTTAAGAGAGTGCCTTGGAGTTTCCTGAATTTTTGCTACATTATTATAATCAATGTTGAAAACAATTTTCCTGCTTCATATTTTTGTGGAAATCATGATCCATTTTTTTTCAGGATTCTTTGACGAATAAAAACGTTAAAAGAACAGCATTTATTTGAAATATAAATCTTTTGTAACATTACAAATGTCTTTACTGTAACTTTGATCAATTTAATGTGTCCATGCAATTTCTGAAAAGAAAAAAAAAACCTTACTGACCCCAAACTTTTGAATGGCAGCATACATAAATTACAAAAAGAAAATAACAATGCATTCAAAATGTTAAACTATATGATCCACTCCAGTGTATTCTTTGTATTGAGCCAAGAGTTCAGTCTGTGATGTATAGATCTTCTTTTGGTCAAATATTCAAATCAACAGAACAATCTTTTGGAATATCCTTGCATTTCTCCTCTCCTACATTTGCATAAGTATGACTAGAAATGAATGAAACAGGATGTATAATGTGACAGCAAGTTAATGCTATTGCCAGAAAACATTTTTTTTTGGTGATAAAGTGTTCCTCTGAGCAAGGGCGTAGGTTTAGGGGGGGACGCTAGGTACTAGTCCCAATCAATATTTTGAGGTGACAAATTTGTCCCCACCAATATTTAGCAAGCTCCTTTGAACTGCTATTTTGATATTTGCGCTGCATTTGGATCTTTGCGCTGCTATTTGGATCGATTCCAACGGCCAGGACGACTACAGTACAAGATACGCCGTAATTTGATTGGCGGCGGGGTATCTGACAGGCAGGCTACACGCGCGGGCCGGGACTACTTTTTGTGCTTGTACTCACTGGCAGCGAGCGGGTGGTGTGTGCGTGTGTGTGTGTGTGTGTGTGTGTGTGTGTGTGTGTGTGTGTGCGCGCGTGACGACGCCGACGGTAAGTTACCAGGGCTGTCTCTCTGCCTGCCATATACAAAGGCCAGAGTAAAACATTTTAATATTCCGTTTTTTTTGCCCCTTTTTGTACTTTGTAGATCAGCTATGTCACCCAAGAAGAAGAAAGGGGACATACGAAGCTTTTTCATAAAGAAGAGTGTAGGCAAAAATAACTAGCCACACAAATAATTAGCAGTAGTAGTGACTGACCAGGCTTTCAAATGCAGATTCTACTGTGGAAAATAGTATTAACTGGTGATCCTGGTTACCCAGGATATTGTTACAGTTAAACCTAGCTTCTGCAATCTTTCACGGTTAGGAGCATTAATTAGGGGTGTGCAGCACAGATAGACTCATAGAAGTCGCACTGTCATGATAGACGTTTGCAAGTCACTGAATGTTAATTAGCCTACCTTAACTTAGAATCTTGCAGTCATAAACAGTGGATCATCTGAGACATTTTTCGTTTCTACATTCTGTTTATGTAATGTATTTGTAGTGTAGCCTACTTGCTAGACACATATGTGCTGGAAAAACATGTTGGCAATGTTAAAAAGGCAAAAGTTAACACTGTTGGTTATTCAAATATAATGAATCATTATTTGATTGATAATATCCAAATAACAATATCTGGTAGGAGGGTTAAACTTGCTAGCCATAGGATAGACAACAGAATTAATTAACCATTTTGTATGCAGGAAAGACAGCATCAAACCACAACAGATTTACATTTATTCATTTAACAGACATTTTTTATCCAAAGCGACTTACAATTGAGAACAATAGAAGCAGTAAACCTAGGATAACAATATGCAAGTTTTATGACCCTTCCCAGTTTAATCTAATGCACTTTTCTTTTCTTTTTTTTTAAGAATAGAATATATCAATAGAATTTGATATAGAATAGAAGGGTCAGGATACAATATAATGAGATGAAGTAGATTCACTTCTGTATTGTGATATTCTGTATTGCCAGCAGTCTGAAATGACGAAGGAAATCGCCATTAAAGCACTGTTACTTATCTTACAACAAAATAATTCCCGCCGGGGGGGGGTTGTGTCCCCACCAAAGCTGAGACCAAACCTACGCCCATGCCTCTGAGATCTGCGGTCACGTCGTATGTCACTCCACAGTCATAATTTAATATTACAACATTTTTAATGTACGGAATATGTGCCAAATGGGGATCAAGAGTCATGCTATGAAGGTTCATGCTTGTTTATTTGTTAAGCTTGAATATTTTATTTATATTGAATTCATTTATATTTCTGAGACTAGATTTTAACAAGATGAGTAGTGCTTGCCCTTGCATACAAAGGTATTGTGAATGATGTGTGGTTGCCCTTAGTCTTAATGATTTTCTGGGGCCGTATTCACAAAGAATTTTATCTTAACACTAGGAGTACTCCTAAATCGCACTAAAATATTTTAGCTAGGAGTTTTCTCTTAAAAGTTATTCACAACGCCTTTCAGACCTACTCTTAGTAAGGAAAAATGACAACTACTAAACTAAGAGTGAGTCTTCGTTGCTATGGATGACGTCAATTCTCATGCACGAGCAATGATCACGGTGATTGGTTGTTAGATGACAGGGCCATCATGCGGAACATAACACAGACGCAACAAATCATGGAATTACGACATCTAAATATGTCTGTGTCCTACACAAAATAATAATAGTAATGTCATCGAAATGCATAATGACATGTTTGTGCAGGCCCCAGTGAAGTGTAATTCTAAAAAGGCAGAGAGAGAGAAAAGTCGTGAATTAAATTAAATTAAATCAAGGTAGCCTAATACCCCAATGAAAACCACCACTTGCCTAATAATGAAAACCGACACTTGCATTAACACTTGCTTGGTTAATTGACATCCTATTAGCCTAAATAGACTACTTAAAGCAAGGAAATGTTGCTCCTATTGAAGTAATGTAATAGTTGAATGACAGTGGATTATGAACTCGCCAAAACGGAAAAGAAAGCCCAACTGGACGCAGGATCAGTTACTGCTGCTGGCCCAGTTGGTGCTGAAAAAAAAAAAAACATAATAAAAGTGAAATTCGGCACTAGGATATCAAGCTAAACTAAGCGTGAGACATGGGAGAGGATTTGTTTGCAGATCAATGCAGCATTCCCGCTTGTGTCGCGAACCCCGGACGACTGCGAGAGGCGCTGGTATGCGCTACGATCCTTTGTGAATAGGTCTTAGTGAGTTAGGAGTCCTCTCGACTTCTTTTAAGCTGTCCCAGACTTAGGTGCTACTTTTAGGGCTAAAATGCTTCGTGAATTACTCTTAGTGAAAAAAATTAGGAGTCCTAAAGTTAGGAGTGACACGCCCATTATTTTTAGGAGTTGGTCCTAAATTCGCCAGTTAGGAGCCACTTTTAGCCTTAAAATTCTTTGTGAATACGGCCCCAGGTCTCTAGATATGGCTTGGATCCATCTTCAAACTAGCTGCACAATTTGATGTATCATTTATGTGTGTTCAGCGTAAGTTACAAGCCAAATGTTAATATTTAGTGTTAGGGGTTTGTTTAAATCCCCAACCCTTAGTCTGAGCGGCAGTAACAAGCAGCACTAATAATTTACAGTGCAACATCTCGATTTATCTTGATATGAAAGTGTTTTTTGGGGTGTGTGCGTACATGTGTGCGTTTCTACCTTTGGCGGCTTGTGCTTTCCATTTTTCCCGGTTTTTATGCACTTCCTCGTTCCAGGTGACTTTGAAGGTCTTAAATTCAACAGCGTTTATGGAGCAGTTATGGGAAGTGCCGCCCTCCGAACCAGTGCTTCTCACACTAGACCGTTTCCCATCCGACGGGATGTTATTCAGACTGCACAAACACAGAGACATGGTTTATTTAGCTTATTTAGTAAATGTTTGTCTTTGGATTATATGAAAGTACATCACTTTTAAGTGTAATGTAATTAGTTGTCAAGCTGATGAAGGATACATTTTGATCAGTCGGTTTCATTTTTGATTTAGATCAATTAGCTGATAACTCATTCAGATTGATTTGTGAACCTCTTTTACTCACTGACAAGAGCCGACTTAAAATACTTTTTTTCCACAAAGTTTCAATTTACACAAGAGCAATATCTTGTTGGTACAATATTTTTGATCAGAGCGGATCTTCAAAAATATAATTTCACTGTAGAAATTGACTTTGAACACAGTATGCGTGACATGTCGTTTGATTACCACAGAAAATTATTTCCAGTCGACTTTTTCGGACTTTTAAACTGAAGTTCAGTACGTAATTCCTGTGGCTGGTTTTTGCTCCATGTAAACATTCCATTTCTGCTATCTTTATTATGCAAAATTACTGGCTTTACATGGTCATGAAAGAACTTTGATATAATTTTGGATAGACAAAGCTAATACGTGACTATCAAACCAATCTCATGTTAGCATGTATACTAATTCTTGTGTGTATTTTTTATCCCTGTGCAATACCTCATCTTCTGTTTGTTTTTTTATCTTCTGTTGTAAGTTAATTACTGTACACATGACTTTTGCTTGTTTCTACAAACTTATTTGAAATGTGAAATGTTTTACTTGTTATAAGTGTAATGCTTCTTTGCAGAGAAAAAGTATTCCTTTGCCATAAAACAAATAAAAAATACAGACCCCAAACTTTTGAATGTCAGTTCTTTAAATATGGAGCTTTTAATAATTGAATAGTGCAGCGCTGTTGCCGCTCACTCAATTGTCCTCACCTGGAGCGCCTGAATCCAGCCAGGCCAGAAGAGGGTGAGGCCTCTTCGATCAGCGGAGTCACTATTTTATCAATCATGTCTGTCAGCACAGTGAAGGTGGGCTCCACAATGAAATCAATGAAACCTGTTAGAAAAGTGAAACACAGCATTATAATACAGGGCATACCATATCCTATTAATTCACACACAAGCCTGATCACTCACCGATCTGAGACTGGGCCACCATGGTAGACTTGCGGTCACATAAAGGAGAGAAAGAAAGTCCAAGCTCTGCCTCCTTATCGCCCTGTAACACAAAGTAGAAGAGCACAAGCACCAATTAGCATTTCTGATTATGAAAGCGGTTATTTAATAGATTTGAACATTTCTGGTAGCACTTTATTTTATTCCTGTTCTGCATGTACATACTATGTACTTATTATAGTTATTACAATAAGTGGGTAATAGTTCTGAAACTCACATATTGTTTACATAGTAAAATAACTTTTATTTCAAAAGATCAAGACTTCTCATGATATGACCCCTTTAGTACCTGACCAATCCAGACGAAATAAAGATTTTGGTTCATTGCAATTCAACTGGAATCCCTTGTGTTCAGCTCAGCTGCATTCTCATTATTCCTCTGAATCAGCCCATAACACTTCATTTGCAAATATCATAGATAATCCTGAGAAACGATAGCTGTAATTATCTTTGCTATGATTGTCTTTAGGCCAAATAATAAAGCTACGACCTCTAAAGAAAATAGGCTTTTAACAAATTACGTTCCACAGGATGTTTTGCAAATCACACCTTTCACGGTCATCACCAATTTCCTTTAGCAACGCTGAGCGATATTTCATCCCGACCCTGAAATTACAATTATAATTTCCGTGGGGTGATTTACCTGCAATGAACTGATCAGTTATTAGCCTAAACGTCGATAAATCATATATTCAATTTCACTCTTGTAGGAACACCAAGATGGGACCGGTGAGATATCAAATCAGACAATGGCAAGTTAATTGGTTTGGCATAATAGGAGAGATAATCATGTCTTAAAAACACACTGTTAATATCAGAATTAGATCCGTTCTCATTTAGCAAGGAAACTGAACTCTACCGCATTGTATATTCAATCAAACAAGAAAGAAAACGTACTTGAGAGCAATTCTGAATGAATTTCTACATCTTCATAGAGATGCAAAAAAGCTGATGGAATGGAGTGAAGCAGCCGAGATTCAAATGTTGAGGTTAGAATGCGGGAAATGGATGTTTAGAGGAGATTAATGGGATTTTTACAGTGGCCGTTACAGGCTTGGAATGCAAAATAAGATTAAGACTCAATTTGAGATTAGATCAGAGTGCTGATGACCACAGAATGGGAATATGGACGATGAAATGACAGAGCAAGAGAGAGAGAGAGAGAGAGAAAGAGAGAGAAAGTGCTCACTGTGTGATTGAAGAACTATAAAGATGTCTACGGGACACTGTTCTCAGCTTCAGACAGCACGCCCACAGGCCATTCACGATGCATTTTGCACACAAAAATAGCAAGAGCTTACTCAAAAGCTCAATCGCCAGTCTGATTGTGAACACAATTTCCGGGAGTCGGGGTACACAGGGTTTTTATAGGCCCACTGGGAAACAAAGCTGTGTTTACAAGGTATTGGTCTGCTGCAATGATGAGCACTTTCTAGGAAGAACTAGGATGGATTTGCGGCAAATGAAATTCAGATCAGAGACATTTAGAGTTTAGTTTGAGGCACTTACTTTGTAGCTATAGTAAACAGGATATCCTTGAGGGCAACTGTAGATTTGAATATTTTGATTTGTTTACATATATTTACTGTAGTTTATGTATAAATTATTCAGCATTTATTCTTGTCAAATCAAGAAGAAAAAGAAGAAAACGTATTTTGCATTTGGATTTTTTTCCCCCCGATAGTAGTTTAAAGATAATTACGGGCATTTTGTCCTCAAATTCTAATTACCTTAATGCAATAAATAAATAAATAAAATTCTCATCACACTGTTACAGTGATAAAATGATCCTGTCTGGACACATTTATATTATTAAAATAAGAGTGCATTACATGAAGTAAAACAAATAATACCATATGTATAAATACTTTACAGTTTATTTAAATGAATATCTTTATTTTATATTTAATTGATTTAATATATTTTATATATATATATATAAATGTGTATATATATATATGTACATATATATATACATATGGTAACAAAATTGGAGGAGTGGAATCAATTATTAATTAATTAATTATTATTAATAAACTGTTAATAATTTAATGTATTAACTTATTAATATTTTAATTACTATATAATTATTTAATTGTTAATTTGTTCAAGTATTAATTCATATTATATCAGCATATTATATATATTTTTAATTTTTTACATTTATTTAGTCAAAATATAATTTCCTTTTTTCTTTCTTTTGATTTTGGGGTTCAATATGACCCAGAATAAGTTTGATAAGACTTATATGCTTCTATAATTAGAATATAAGACGTTACACTGAAATCCAAAGGTCTCGGGACACTGACCTGTCTGAAGAACTCCTCCAGCAGTGAGGTGGTCCAGCGGTGGTGCATGTTCCAGTTTTTGGCAGGGTGGCTGATGTCAGCGGTGTGCAGTAACAGGGATAAGGCCTTGGGTTTATCAATCCTGCAGAGGACAGAGATGTTCAGCCCCTCAGAGCTGTTATAAACACTCTGTCCAACCTCTCATTATGTGGATATGAATATCTGTAGATGCAGAAATGTTTTCGAATGAACAGTGTGTGATTATCTTCCTCCTCGTTACCCTGATGTGTGTGACCGAACTTACGCTTCTGGCTGCTGGAGGAAGTTCTTCATGGCTTTAATCTGCTGGAAGTGACAGGACATGTCAGTGGCCAGGACCATCTCGACCACCAGGGCCCTCAATTCTCTGAGAGAAAGAAAAGTTTAAGTAATACTTTACAGCACGTTACATTCAGTAAAGAACTCTCGTCTTATCAAGAACCAGTTTTGATGTACATGGTTTTTGATTTGATTTAATCTTTTGATTATATATAAATACATATATTTTGATTTGATATACATTGTACACTCAAAAATATTTTACCTTAATCTGGCACAGGACAGATCATACATTTAATTTCAGTCATAAAATAATTTTCATGTGCATTTACTGGATTTTATGTAATATAGGTTCTTCATTTAAGCATATTAGTTAGTTATTAGCTATTATAGGTTCTATAAAGCAGGGGTTTTCAGACTGGGGTCTCCCAGAGGGCCCTTTTAAATATTCTATTTTAAAAACATATTATATTATATTCATATATTTTAATATACATTTATAAAATAAAAATATTGTATAATATTAATTTGACATATTTATCATGATATATTATTCACATGATAAATTTGATATTTTATACATGAAAATATATAGCAACCTTTATTGGATAAGAAATGGATCCATTGCAAGGGGATGATTTTATTTAGTGGTTTATTGCATTAAAAAACGTTTGAAAACTCCTGCAATAAAAGCACCCAAACTAGAAAATAAGTTCATTGTGGAACTTCAAAAAAGTTCTCCTCAAGCAAGGTAACTGATTTAGCTAATTTGAGGTTTGCCACACGTTTCTAACCTCCAGTCATCTTTCGACAAATTGTAGAGGATGTTCATTTCATCGTCTTCCTGCAGGAGGCGATATGCAGCGCTCACGTGGTGGTTTTCCTGTACGGCGCGGTCATTGTATAGTATGGCTGTGTCGGATCTGTAAAACACAAGTTCTGTTCAAGGCCACTGATGTATTGGGTCTGCTGAACTGAATGAACCTGGTGTTTACTTTCAATAGTACCGGGTCTGTATGTGGAAGTTGTTGGTAGTGCCAGTGTGTTCGTAATCGTGCACAGCCGCGGCAAACAGCATAGCGAAGATCTCTAACTCAGTTAACCAATTCTGGAAGAAAGGAAATAACAAGAAAAATGCTGCAGAAACAAGAAAATCCCTTTAGATTCACAGTTCAATTCTGATTCACAAGCTTGATTTGATTCCGATTCTTCTGGATACATTTCAGCTATAATGTCCATAAAGTACAGGATAGTATTTGAGACTGATTCAAATCAGTAACTTGTCTTTTTAAACTATTCATTAAAAGTTATAAGAGTCGGAATCAGACTCCACTGCTTGCCCTGTATATTCTTGATTCACTAAAAAGGACTGGCTCAAAAGAGTAATTTGTTCAGGAATCCGACTCCAATGGTGACCCTTTACATTTTTGATTCACTAAAAAAGGACTGGCTCAAAAGAGTCATTTGTTAATAAATGAAACTACACTGGCTGTGTTGTAATGTTTGTTTTAAAGTGCAGACTTTGAGGACAACTCAATAGAAAGACGTTTTTGTGCCTTGCGACCACCCTAACAATCAAACACCAAAAAACACTCCAAACACCTTTTGTGTTAAACTTTCTTCAGAAAATATAAAAAACCCACTTCGTTATCAGACAGTTTAAAGCCCAATTCCGTATTCTTCTATAAATAATAATATCATTCTGCTGAACTGAAGATAAGCATACAGGAAACTAAATTATATTAGTTGTTCTTCTGCACATATATTCTTCTGTGCATAACATTATATTGTATTAGCACTAAATCACCAAAGAGCCAGAATAACAAAAGGAAATCATCAGTGGTGTAAATGCTAGGGGGCAAATAATTTGTCAGAACGCCATGTGAAGTCCACACATCACGGAGAGGTTAATGAGCCCGCTGCGGGAGTGACAGGAGCGTGTTTTGAGGCGTCGAGGGAGATTAACTTCCTATCGATTGGTATATGAGCGGCATCATGAAGTGAGAAAGGACTGTTCTGAGGGCCCCAACCTCAATAAATACCTCAAGTGCAGTGTCAGGCTTAATAAAACATACTTCAACAGCTCAGTTCACTAGAAATAATAATAATAAACAACCGAGGGGACTCGATGTACATGATTATTTTACCCAAGCACACATAAACATACACAAATCCCCGATGGCAGGACTGTTGATTAAATTCATACAGCATAGGAGACTTTTTTTGGGAAGAAGGTTTCTGGCGGTGCAATTCTGGACTTACAACCATGCCGGTCTTGAGCAGAAGGTAATGCACTGTCTGGGTGACGTCGGCAGCGTGGATTAGGTTATGGTATGGGTTTCTGTATTTGCTGTAGCCCACCTCCAAGGCCTCCACAAAAGACACCAGAGCAGAAACAGGGATCTGAGGAGATGCACAAAAAGGCCTTAAAATCGGCATGAAACAGAAGTTGCGATAGTCTATTCCTCCTGTATTTCTAAGTGAAACTGCTTCTCAAACAAGAACAAATTTAGGGTGAGAATTGGTTTTGTCAATCAGGAATTGATTGGATTTTCGGATGGTTGTGGTTTGCTATTGGTCGATCTCATGTGAGTGACAGGTTGCCCCGCCCTCGTGCTAGTCATCAGAGAAGAGAAGAGATGTCGTTTTAAGAGGTAGGGGAGGTATTTTGTTTAAAGATTACGAGGGCACATGAATAATGATGTGCACGGTAAATCATTTTTAATAAAATTCATTAAAAAATAAGAATTGTCAATTTTGATTTCATGGTGACTTTAGAATAACAACCCACAGTGTCAAATAGCCATTTGTAGATGATCATCTGGATGTTGGTTCCTTTGCTATGTAATGTCATTATTATGGTTAAATTCAAACATGCTGTAAATGTGATTTCAAAAGTGATGGTAAATGATGGTAAATGTAAAAATACATCAATCTTTCGCATGACCTTATTATTATTTACTCAGATCAACAATACCATGATATAACAAAGGAAACCACTCTGAGATATAGTTTTACGGTTTGAAATCTTGAACTTTTGGTCTTATAATGAAAACAAAAGAGAGAGCATCTTACCTTAAAGCGATTGATTAAATCATATCTGGTCAGAAGTTCATAAAAAATAAATTTCAGTGAATGTTCTGAACTGGCATCATTCAGTGTGAAGACGTCAAACGACCACGTGTCCACATGCTAGACCAACAACAAAACAGACAGATCTGTCAGTGTATTAACATCTTTACCATTATTATCATATCAAAACAATCAACATTTGTATTGTATCAATACATTTTTTAACATGAAATACACTATTGCTCAAAAACTCTTGAGGTCTGTAAGATTCATTGATGTTTTTAAAAGAAGTCTCTTATGCTCACAAGGGCAAGGCTGCATTTGGTTGATTAAAAAACAGTAATATTGTGAAATATTATTACAATTTAATATAACTGTTTTTGAGCATATTTTAAAATGTAATTTATTCCTCTAATGGCAAAGCTGAATTTGCAGCATCATTACTTCATGATTCTTCAGAAATCATTCTAATATGCCGATTTGGTGCTCAAGAAAAAGCATTTATTTGAAATATAAATATTTTGTTACATTATAAATGTCACTTTTGATTAATTTAATTCGTCATTTCTGAATAAAAGTATGTTTCATTCAAGAGAAAAAAATCACACTGACTCCAAACTTTTGAATGGTAGTGTATATAATCGTGGATCATTTTTAGTAACTTCCCATGAGGAAAGAAAAATCATAAATGAGATCTCTATACATCTTCTAAAGCTATGAAAAAGGCAACTTCATCTTATGATGCCTATAAACGTGATAAGATGTTCACAGTCCCGGAGTCTTACAAATTGCTGCTTTTGCATAATGTAGTAATACCAACCTCATTTCTTTTTTTATAACGTATAAATTACTTTCACCTCCCTTATAAACAGGGTCTATGATGAATGATGTGTGATTCTATCAATCTATACTTCAATCCTGAGTCATGAAATGAACCAGTAATAATACAGGAGATTTGGTCCACATTATGGCCGCCTGTGGTTTATCCATTAAACTGCGTTTTCGATTTTCTCTCTCTCTCTCTCTCTCTCTCTCTCTCTCTCTCTCTCTCTCTCTCTCTCTCTCTCTCTCTCTCTCTCTCTCTCTCTCTCTCTCTCTCTCTCTCTCTCTCTCTCTCTCTCTCTCTCTCTCTCTCTCTCTCTATCTATCTATCTACCTCCCTCTTCTTCATCTCTCTCTCTCTCTCTCTCTCTCTCTCTCTCTCTCTCTCTCTCTCTCTCTCCCATCCACTCTGAGTTTGACCCTCTGTTATTTCATCTCATCACTTTCAAAGAAAGTTCTATGTAGGTTTGATTAGTTGGTTGCAATGAACATTTGCAAAATGCTACATTAAATATTCACATCCTAAGATTGGAATATTTGTCCTGCACTCTGTCTCAGTCACGGCTCAGAGCTTTCCATAGCTTCAGGCTATGTGCGGCGATATATATGCAGATCCACTGACTGCTGTGAGATCAAGAGAGAGAGAGAGGCCAAAATCCTGCTGCGAAGCTACCAGGACATCCAGTACAAACCTGCAGCCTCATTTATAAAACACTCGTACAATCACATTTGATCTTAAAATCGATGTATTTGACTCTATTTTAAAAGTGAGGCAAAAACTGACACGAAAATGTTCTTATACAACCTTTTTCTGATGACTTAAAGTGATGCAAGTGAGTAATTCAAGATATACAACATTCACTAGCATTCAAAAGTCTGGGGTCAATATTTTTTTTTTTATTCAACAAGGGTGCATTAAATTGATCAAAAATAAAGACTTTTATAATGTTACATCATAATTCTATTTCAAATAAATGATGTGAAAAACTCTTTATATAAAACGAAGCCTAATTAGTTTCAGCTCATTATCTTCATTTTCTATTAAGATTAGGTGGACGGAGCCAGCAAATTTCTGCTATTGTTTGACAAGAACATCTGTATTAGTATTCTGTTAATTAGTCACTTAGCAGACACTTTAGACATTTACAGTACTTGCAGATAAAGCAATCCGACTTGCTTAAGGGCATGAGACTTATAGCGCACTGCAGGAGATCTCTATTTCATTTCTAAAGTTTGAACCTCTGCCCTTTGTGATACCAGCCTAGAGGCTTCACCACTAGGACACCACATTATTCAGTTCATTTGACTTTTATCCACACACCTCAGAAAAAGTTTCTGTGTCATGTTGCGTGTGGAATTTAAACGGGTTATGTTTACGAATGCTGGGTGTTCTAAAAATCTAGATATTTATCCCTAGCTTTACATGCGTCACAACAAAAATTTTATTATTTCATTTAAGTGCCCCTATTATTCTCTTTTCAGTGTTACCGTTCACGCAGTGTGTAATGTATATCAAATATATCAAAGTGCATGACAAAGTTATTGTATCCTAAAAGAAAGAATCGATTCTGAAATGGCAAATCCAGTCTCACTTCCATAAAAAATCCACGTAGCTTTGCAAAAAAATTGCATAATGCCAGCCTATGGTCTTCATTGGCTGCCCGCGAACGTCTACTTAGTGCTTTGACCCGTCCTCAAACACTGTGGTTTTAGCTGAGAAGCAACATGTTGTAGCAGCATGTCGTGTTGTCAACATGTCGAGAAGGCACTGTTCTGTTTCATTCTTACTGACCGCCAGAGGCAGTGTAAACACTATGGATTATCGCAGCGCCAGCTAGATAGGTCGAGAGAATATACCAACAAAGTCAAGTGGCGTGACGTATGCTGAGCCCTGGAGGGTAAAGCTACAGTAGCTCAGCACTCTACCTCTTTCGCTTTCTCGCCTAGTTGAGATAGGTTGTATTGGTTGAGTGACGCGCTGTCAAGTGCAGCTTACAAGAGCAGCGAGATCCGTCCTCACAAGCTGTGACAGCGCGTGTCTACGCTCTTTCAAGGATTTGGATTTTTTCAAGGATTTGGATTTAAATTAACGGCACTTGGTGAGTTTTGTTTTTTCATATTGCTTCGTCGGTAACACTCTGTGCCTTCTCGGTGCAATCCGGTGGCTTGTGTTTGCCGCGCTATGAGCCGGTTCTGGCAGGCCGCCATGTTCTTGTTCGGTCAGACAATACCTCAACAGTGTTCCATTTGAACCACCAGGGCGGCACGAGATCCCCAGGTCTCTATGGTTGACTCACGAGATCCTGACATGGTGTCAGCCACGACTCGCTTCACTGAGGGCAGCTCATATTCCAGGAGTGTGCAACCAGACAGCAGATGCTCTTTCCAGGGATCAAGTACATCCAGGAGAATGGAGGCTTCATCCAGATGTAGTGCAGGAGATCTGGCTACGATTTGGAAGAGCAGAGGTGGATCTTTTTGCTTCAGAGATGACCACCCACTGTCGCTTATGGTTCGCAAGGACAGAAGTGTCGAGCCCCCTGGGCCAGGATGCGCTGTCTCACGAATGGCAGAACTGCCTGCTTTATGCGTTTCCACCTACCCCTCTGTTATGGGAGACGTTGCACAGGATCTCCCTGTGCAAGCACAGAGTGTTACTCGTGGCACCACGATGGCCAGCCAGACCGTGGTTTCCTTTGTTGCTGAGACTTCTGACAGGCAATCCATGGAAGCTTCCCCCCAGGAAGGACCTCCTCTCCCAGTTGGAGGCCAGTGTCTGGCACCCGGACCCGGCTCGTCTGCAGCTTTGGGTCTGGCCATTGGGTTAAATCCTTCCCTGGAGCATTGTGACCCTGCTGTTATTCACACAATCTCTAATGCTAGGGCTTCTTCCACACGACAGATTTATGCTTCCCGTTGGAAGCTTTTTTCTGCATGGTGTAAGGAACGGGGGCTCGATCCTGCAACATGCGACATTCCGCGTGTCTTAAGTTTTCTTCAACGTTTACTGGAGGAAGGAAAAGCAGCTTCCACGTTGAAAGTGTACGTTGCTGCAATTTCTGAATATCATGTTCCAGTTGGTGACTCTTCTCTTGGCTCTCACCGTCTTGTCTGCAGTTTTCTGAAGGGCGCACGCCGTCTGAACCCTGCTCGGAATCCTCATTTTCCTGTGTGGGATTTGTCACTCGTACTTGCATTCCTGTGCTCACCCCAGTTTGAGCCCTTGCAAAATGTTGACATTAAATGGTTGTCCTTGAAGACTTCTTTTTTGTTAGCTATTGCTACTGCGAAACGAGTCAGTGAGTTGCACGCGTTGTCTGTTAGTGAACTGTGCTTGCGTTGGTTACCGGATGGCTCCGGGGTGGTTCTACGACCCAATCCTTCTTTTCTTCCGAAGGTCCTTCTTCCTCAGTTCATAAATCAGCATATTGAACTGGCCTCCTTTCAGACTTCTTCAGGGTCCGATTCAAGTGCCCAACTCTTGTGTCCTGTTCGGGCCTTGAAGTGTTATGTGAACTCTACTGTTCAATTTAGACGGTCAGACCAGTTATTTGTCTGCCATGGTGGTGTAAGGAAAGGTGCTCCAGTGTCGAAACAGAGGTTGTCGAACTGGATAGTGGAGACCATTACGCTGGCTTACAAGGCGGCAGGGAGACCACTGCCCTGGAGACTAACTTGCCATTCCACTAGGGCCATTTCATCTTCATGGGCTGTTTTTAGAGGAGTTTCCCTGGTGGATATCTGCACTGCTGCTACCTGGGCTTCTCCATGCACGTTTGCCCGGTTTTATAAGGTCAACGTTGCTGCTCATCATGCCGTTAGTTCTGCGGTTCTTCTGGAGCAGCCTTAATTTCATCAGGTGGGTGGCATTCCTCATGACTATGTTGGTATGTGTCATCCATAGTGTTTACACTGCATCTGGCGGTCAGTAAGAATGAAACAGAACGCTAGTTACGCATGTAACTGTGGTTCTGTGAATTCTGGATGACCGCCAGAGTTCTCTGTCACTCGTAATGCGCGAGAAAGGCGTACCGAGGTAGAGTGCTGAGCTACTGTAGCTTTACTCTCCAGGGCTCAGCATACGTCACGCCACGTGACTTTGTTGGTATATTCTCTCGACCTATCTAGCTGGCGCTGCGATAATCCATAGTGTTTACACTGCCTCTGGCGGTCATCCAGAATTCACAGAACCACAGTTACATGCGTAACTAGCGTTTTCTGCACTGTGAATCCACTTCCATATTTTCATATTCCAAAGAATGAGGACTCGCACTGGAATTGATACATTGTTACTGTTCGTAGCACTATGTATCAAGCGCCGAGGAAGCCTCCGGAGCTGAAGTTCAAATATGCTAATGAGGGTTTCGTTTCCAACACACGCTGTAATCTGTAGACCAATCACAACAGACTGGGTTATCTGACCAATCAGAGAAGAGGAAGCTCTCAGAAAGGAGGGGTTTAGAGAGACCGAATCCATTATTAAACCATTTCAGACACTGTGAAAAAAGAGGTGATCCTTCAATGTATATTATTAGAAAAAAAGTGTTTTTTGGACATTGGATGCATGTAAACCTACTGTAGCAGACCTCCAAACTAAATTAGGAACGTTTAAAATAGAATAATAGGGGCACTTTATTGTTTTATTTCAAATGTATTTTTTTTGACCATGTGAGAAATTCTGCATACTGTACTGTTCACAGCATAGTGTAATACTACAGGTGTATTTGCTATTCCGAACACAGCCTTAGAAGACAGCAAGAATTTTAGAATCACAATAGTCAACAGAACAAAATAATATTTTTAAAAGATTGTAGACTTATTACTGAAACGACTGTTCTGCCACAAATTGTGATATATGTGAGAAGCTGATAGGAGAACAGATGCAGCTGATAACAGCTCTGAAATGGCATTCTTGATTGAATAACAGCAGTTTGCTCGATGTACTGTATATACTGGACTATAATTTCATGTATTAAAGCGGAATATTTTGAATTTGCTCTTGCATTTTGCCTAATACACTAGCATTCAAACGTTTGGTGTTGGTAAGATGTTTTAAATGTTTTTGAAAGAAGTCTCTCTTATGCTCACCAAGACTACATTTACTTGATAAAAAATACAGTAATATTGTAAAATGACTGCTTTCTATTTTAATACATTTGAAAATATAATTTATTCCTGAGATGCATTACTCCAGTCTTCAGTGTCACATGATCCTTCTGAAATCATTCTAATATGCTGATTTGCTGCTCAAGAAACATTTCTTACTGTTATCACTGTTAAAAAACACTTGTTGCTTTGTGATGTTTTTGTGGAAACGGTGATCTTTTTTTAAACCAAGATTCTTTGATGAAGAGAAAGTTCAAAGAGAACAACATTTATTTGAAGTAAAAACCTTTTGTAACATTATAAATGTCTTTACTGTTACTTTCGATCAATTAAATGCGTCCTTGCTGAATAGAAGTACTAATTTCTTTTAAAAAAAACATCTTACTGACTCCAATTTTTTGCTATCCACAATAATGTATGATATTTATTTTTCCACAGTAATTTAAAGGGGTCATATAATGGTAAATGCACTTTTACAAGTTGATTGTACTGAAATGTGTGTTGGCAGTGTCTGTACACAACCATCATAAAATGATAAAAATCCATCCAGTGTTTTTGTTTTAATCTCCTTATATGTTTTCCCCTGCCTCAAATCAAGCCGTTCGACCTTGTGACGTCACTCCCACGATTGTTGATTGACAGGAGCGTTTCAACACAGAACCGCCCTCGCTCGTGAGGGAGCTGTCAATCATAGTCCGCGCAGACAGGCGCGGTCATTGTTTATATGCTGGAGCACTGTCTATGAGCAGAATGGCGTCTAAGCGATTGTGGTGTTCTGTTCTTGGGTGTAATAAGGAACACAGTCATTTTAATGTTCCTAAATCCGAACCGCTGAAGACGCAGTGGCTGAGTTTGTTTTCGAAGGGATTCCCCACGAGCAACGTCAATGCTTTCATGTTTGCGCGAATCATTTCTCACCAGACTGCTTTATAAACGAGGATCAGTATAAAGCTGGATTTGCTAAGAAGCTGCTCATGAAAAAAGGATCGGTACCAGATATTCGTGTTCCTGCTGCACCTCCAGAAGAACTGAAGTGAGTGTAACGTTTTATTAAACTTTATATTAATATATTAATCTTTGCAAATCGCCAGCTGCACGCTTCACAATGAATGCGTCTAAGGTTTACGCTTAGGGTACATTACAGCATGTTTTCTATGTATGACGTTCTCAATATAATTCATAATCCCACGTCTATACTGAACAACGCGTTATGGTTATTGTGTTATTGTGTTACAAATGGTGTATGCACAGAACAGAGAGGCGGGGTGAGCAAAGCTCATGATCATTTAAAGTCATATTCACTGAAACGGCGTGCTGAAAACAGAGCTGTTTTTGACCAGGTAAAATAAGTGTTTTCTTACAATACTAATGAGAATTTTTAATTAAAGTATATTACAAACTTTTAATTTAGACCCTAAAGAATCATATTAGCTTGTACAAAAATGGCATTATATGACCCCTTTAAATGTATCGTGTGTGATTTTGTGTCAAAAGGAAATGAAATCCGTGTTGTCCACATATACAGCATCCTATAAGACAACTATCTGACTATACCAAAAACCGTCTAAACTCCCTCTGTCCTGTCCAAACCGCATGTGTGTGTGTGTGCGCCAGGTAACCCAGCTGGCCGAGGGAAAGATCAATTGTTCACTTCGGTTGATTAAACAGGGCTGTTTGCCTGGAGACAAACCTTTGCCTTGTTGTTTCTCTCGTAAGCTATTATGCATTCAAAACGTGTCGCATTCACACGTTTCGCATTCATGCTGTGACCAGGTTGCGCGTGTGTTTGTGCATATGTGCATTTGAGGGCACAACCTCGAATCTGATTGGGCCGCTTCATTACCTTCAAGGCCGTGATCACGCTGGGCGGATAGCTCAGCCCCACCATGTTGGAGGTCCGTCGGTACATCCTGTCAGAAAGAGATAACACACTTCTGTCAATGTGTGAGAGCTTCTGGGAAGTGAAAAAAGGGGGAAAATCCCTTGTTTTTCTCCAGATGCCCTTTAACATTAACATTTTCGGAGCATGCCGTGCTGGAAATATAACACAAGATAGGAAATGCACAGCAGGGTCACAGGTCAGTCCAGATCAATCGATCCAGCCAGTCAGTCCCTGTTTAAAATGTATCAGCTCTGGATCAGTTCTTTGAAAGTATATAGGGTTTAAATTGGTTTACTTTATACTGGTAGCCTTGGAAAACCTCATACAAACCTTTCTACAAATATCCCAGCTTGCACTGCGTGCACAATGCTGCGAAATCGCGGCTTCTCCTCCGACCGTCTTAACATCAGCCCCATCTGACGTGTGAAAGTTGATGCCAACCAATCACGCACTTCTGAGGGAACCGAGTCGGACTGGATGTCACTGAGCTCATCTTCTGTATCCACCAACCGCCTGCAGAAACACACACACACACTCAAATATAAGACACGATTGCTGTCTGAAGACACTAAATGGGTAAGTCATGTCACTTCCGATCACGTCAGATGAAATTTCAGCCAAAACGCCTGTGAGCAAAAGTGATGGATAAAAATATACAATTCCACTTCAAAGACAAAGAAATACAAACTAACATATCTGATCACCTAAACACAACTTACATATGGAAGCCCATTTCTGCCATGTTAAAAAAAATCATGATTTGGTAAATGATAGCTATGATATAAAAAGTAATAATTATAAGATAAAATGCATATTATTACATTGACTCAAAATTATGACACAAAGTCATAATTGTAATATAAAAAGTTGAAATTATGACAAAATGTCAAATTTATGGCAAAAGTCATAGTTACAGGTATAGTAATAATTTCAACTTTGTCATAATTATGAGTCATGTAATAATTTAGTTTTTGTCATAATTCCCCTTTTTTTTTTATCTGTGTTTGAGTTTTACTATGATTTGTTTTTTGAGTCAGTGAGTTGATCATTAGAACCCATTAGTCAGATTCACGGCTGAATCATTTAAACTGGTTTTGTGAACAGAATCAATTTGTTCAATGAAAAGAAAAAAAAAGAAAAGATTTAAAAATTTGGACATTGCCAATTCTCTCATAAACATCCCAAGAAAAGGGTGGATGTCAAGTCTTTCTGCTAATAATTACTTTAATTGTGGTTTGTTCCTCTCACAATGTTATAAATGGGAAACACAATACAGCATAGAGATGAACTATAGTATGTACTATATTTATGATACTTTTATGGTGTTTTACATCCTTTTTGAAGACTGAAAGCCCCATTCATTGCAATTGCATAGAAATCAACAACAACAAAAACATGTACATTCTGCAAAATGTTCCTTTTGTGTTCCATGGGAAAAAAAAGTCAAACATGTTTGGAAAAACATGAGGATGAGTGAATAAATATAGAATTTTGTCTTTAATTTGATGCATGGCACATTTCCTTCTCAGATGGTGGCCAAATTTTCAATTTTGTCTAAAAAACTGAAACAAACACATTAAATACTGGAACACTCATTGCAGCGAGAAGACAGCATAACAGAACTGCAATCCGTCTTCTAGCTTTATTTTAAATCAACATAGGGGTTTAAGAGCAGCTTTAGAGATTAAACTATCTAACGCACTCTAGGAACGACGCATACCTCTGACACCTGACATCTGACCCCAAATGTGATGATTTAACATGTGAGGATATTCACAATGTGCGTGTCAGAGTTGTGCTTACCTAGTCTCTTCAATATAGACAGACTCCAAAACGGATGCAGCATATTCTAGGTTTTTCTTCAGGTCCACAACAGAAGCCTCACCTCTCTCCAACTGTTTCACCAAACATCTCAGCCTGAAATGGAAAAAAAGACAAAAATTGATTAGGAAAAATGTTATATTTGGATGTCATGGGCCTTTTGTCTTTACATAATAAAATAAATACAATAAAATGTAGATTCAAACCAAGTCTTGATGTAGATCGGATTAAAATTTTCAGTGTGCTCATCAGCTTTTTGCAGTTTGAGGCAAGTTTAAGTTTTCAGTAAAGTCTTTAAAAGTCAGTCTAAGCCCAAACTGTGAACATACTGTGTTTGGTTTGTGGCTACCGAATGCATTTTAGACAAAAAAGAACAGATTCATCCATCATCTTTATTGCTAAAGATGATAAAAGAGCTCTTTATTGCTGAAAGTCTCCAGATTCTTTTCACTACTCCGAAATGAACTGATGTGAATAAGCTGAAAGTCTAAACCAACTGAAAGTGTATTATAATAAAGATATACTGCGAAACACCTGCTTTGTCTTAGTTTAAGGTCCCCTTGCTAAATGAAAGTTATTTAGGCAAACATATTTTATACTTTTTAAGCAGCATTTTTTTCTCTGGATTCCCACTGGTCATAAAATGAGCAGCATGAAGTGCGCTAGCTACATGGCTGTAATTCAGTGAACAGTATGCGTCACTGTTTTGTTTATGAGCAACATAAAGCATCTCTGAAGTGATCTTCACTCATGCGGACAAAGGGCCACATCAAAAGGCCAACAGTGATGTCCCAGGTGTGAGCAGCAGAGAGACATTTTTCTGTATGGGTCTGGGTGTTTGCATGAATGGAGAACACAGGAAACAATTTGACCCAATTCCCATCCCAAATGACTGGACCACGCGAGCCAGAGCAGCATGCAGTGATGAAGCAGGGTGAAATCATGCAGTTAATCCACTGTGCACTTAAATTCATAGTTCTGTTCAATCATGTGCTTTTCTAGAGCAGCAGCAGGATTCTGCAATCGGAATCTGCTGATTAACTTTTGACAGGGCACTGTTCATATTTTTGGACATGGTAGCATGAAAATTCCATTGTATTCCTCAGAGTTCCATGTAAATAGTATGCGATATCAATATGCAAATGTTTGATTGATTGTATATATGATAATACACTGAAATTCATATACTATTGTATTTACAAAATACATACTACTGTAAATGTCCCCTCTAAACTTGGTAATACCATGGTACAGGTCCAAAAATCATGTTAAAAACAAACATAAAAACCCAACATTGTAGTACAATGGTAACATGGTATAATTACATGGTAATAACATGGTAGTACAATGCAACATGTCTAAAAATCATGTTAAAAACTAGTTTAAAAGAATGTCAACATTGTAGTATAATGGCACTTTTTGTGAACACTGAATTTTAATACAACCACAAATAAAAATAACATATACCAGTGTTTATTCCATACTGGTAGTAATGAATACGGACTCGACCAGTTGATATCTGAAAAACTAAAAGCACTTAATTTGTTTCTTTACTTTTTTATTGTAATATTGATTATTACTTTAAAGTGTTTATTTAAGTGAGAAAAAAAAAAAAGGTTTTGCTAACCAATTAGCATTAACATTTTTTTATTATAAAAAATAACAGTTCTGCGACAGTCCTGATACTGATAATAAAAATGGAATAATAAAATAAATGAATAAATATTTACATTGGTCAGTTTGGGAGTAGCTTAAGTTATGTTCATTTCTACCAAAAAATGGCACCTTGTGACTTTCCTCTCAATGGCCTCCTGTCTTATCTCTTCAAGTGGTTGGCAGCTGTGTTATTTGAATGAAGTGCTCTCGTTCAACTGAAAAGCGTGACGTCGGAACCAGGGTCGAGGACGCGCTGTTTGAACAATGTTATCAAAACAGACGAGGCAGAGCAGAAACACATTCCCCTGGTTCCCCAAGGAATCCCCTGCTTCAGACAAACACACAATCGATGCACCAATTCAATGACATCCCATTAGAGGATTAGTACTTCCTAGAATCTGTCTGGAGCAGAAATGATAAGAGCAAAAATTCTTTAAGCGAGCACGTCCGCTCGGCCAGGACTGCACAATATATGACCTTTCTAATACAGAGAAAGAGCCAGATTAGATGCTTATGATTAAACCATTAGACCACGGGATCAGATTTAGTAAGCATGTTTCAAATGAAGGACTGCATCAGAATTATGGGCTAAAGAAATTGAGGGACGTAAATGTGTTTTAGCCATGATTTCTGAGCTCTGTAATGTCTGTGAACGGGATACGCTGAAGCTGAAACGCATCAACATGTTGCAATTTCCTTGAGCTGAATCCTACAGGGAAATTGACTTTTAATGTCCATCTAACAGACAGGTGTCAACAGGGAACTGCTTTTATTGATTGTGTGTTTTTGTTCTTAAAACGGCATGTGTTGTTGACAAGGATGGATTATGATGTCAGCACACGCACTAGCACAACGTTTTCTACAGCATAATTTGAGTTTACTATAATCGTACGGTGGCTAACATCATGCAAAATTTGCAATTGTACTAATACACAACTAATGGGCTGGTCTGAGTATTTCAGAAACTGCTGATCTACTGGGATTTTCACACACAACCATCTCAAACTGGTTTCTTGACAATAAGTTCACTATACTCAAATGGCCAACACAGTCACCAGATCTCAATCCAATAGAGCACTTTTGGGATGTGGTGGAACGGGAGATTCGCATCATGGATGTGCAGTCGATAAATCTACAGCAACTGTCAAGTCAAGTCATGTCAAGTCAAGTCACCTTTAAATAGCGCGTTATACAATACAGATTGTTTCAAAGCAGCTTTACCGGGATAAACAGAAAAATAACGATTCAATGACGCAAAAAAAATTCAATTCTGCAATAAAGCAGCTCTAAAAAGAAAAGAGTGTCACAGATCAGCTGAGGTCAGTTCGGTTTTCAATCAGTTCAGTTCAATGACTGTAATAATATGATATACATAATACATAATATGATATAAGTTCAATGTCATCATGTCAATATGGACCAAAATCTCTGAGGAATGTTTACAGCACCTTGTTGAAGCTATGCCACAAAGAATTGAGGCAGTTCTGATAGCAAAAGTGGTTCCAACCCGGTACTAGCAAGGTGTACCTAATAAAGTGGCCGGGGAGTGTATATTAAGTGCATTGTTATGTACAACAGGACTGTGCGCATGCAATGCGTTGGCCAAGCATTCGTGACTGCATTTGCATATTTGCATTTGCACAGAGTATGTGTGTTTGGCCAAAGGCGAACTTCTGTATGCAAATATCATTCCATTCAATGCTCATTCACTGTCATATTTTGTCTGACAGACTTACAAATTCTGTTGTACGAACAGACCAGCAGTGATATCACACACTAGGCTTCCTGTTCATTAGCGGCTCCTAATGAGCATGCGTGCCGATGACTCATCATGAATGTTTGACTTCTGATAAACTCCAGCCTAATGGGTTAAAAGACTGCAATCTCTTAAAGAAAGACTTCTATGCACAACTCTATAGCTCTATTACAAAAACTTATGAGCTTCCCATAGACAGCAATTTCCAGCATTCAAAAAAGGTAAGCAACATTAATGGTTTTGCCTCCTAAGATAACTTTTTTTAGCCAAATGTGTGTGTGTGTGTGTGTGTGTGTGTGTGTGTGTCTGTGTGTGTAAATTAGTAAATAATAAATAAATATACTTTTTAATTTATATATATATATATATATATGTATATGTGTGTGTGTGTGTGTGTGTGTGTGTGTGTGTGTGTAAATGAGTTTTTAATTTATTATTTAAACACATATATATTCAAATATACAATATAAATAATATATTAAAATATGATAAACATGTATAAAAATAGAAACTTTAGTGTATATTTGTTAAATAGTTTATTTAATTTATCATTTTTTTCTTGTATATTTACAGACTTGGATGGGAATAACCTTGTCGTGTAAGTGCTGAAGTTTGTGCAGAGGCTCCAGATCTCAAAGGCGTCACAACCAGATTGTTCAATGGAGTATCTGATACAGCATGAACAGGGAAACACAATTAAAATGCAGACCTCTGGAGAGACGTGACGATGTGTGGGCTTCCTTGTCTGCCTTTTTTCACCTCTATGACACCGCAAGGTCACTTTTAATCCTTCCTTTAATCTTGTCTTCCACCTTTTCCTTTCTCTTTTAATGTATTACACACACACATACACACACACACACACAAATGAATTAACTCACATTGCCCGCTTTGCCAAAAACCAACACATCCCCTCATCCTTTCCACCCTTCCCCACGCTGAGAGATCTCCATCTTTCTCTCTCCACAAAAGGTCAGTGGACGGTCTGTTTTAAGGTCAGTCATTGAAGATATGAGCCATTATCACACTTTACTGACTTCTAGAAAATACACAAAAGCTGCTGAATGTCTGAGGACACAAGATTTGGTCAAGACGTCCATTGAACTGGCAGACGTTTCCTTCTTGAAATAGACACTCATATCTAAGCAATTACGAATTCTACTTAGGAAGTAACTTTGATTCACAATTAATTCAAAAAGAGTTTGACGTTATCATGTTGCAAACAGCAACTGAACAAAGTAAGACTAATTTAACATTGAAAAAATTATATTGGAGGAAAAAATAAATAAATAAATGGAGGACAAATGTACATAGAAAAGATTTGATAAAATGAAGAATGAAATTTAAATAGAATAAACATATTTACTAGTATTTAATTATTTAACACCATTTCTCAAAAATCTCTGAGAATTTAAATCTCTGCTACAATGCTGTGCATTCGTTTTTTGTTTTTGTTTTATCAGTGTGACTGTAAAGTTGTCTTGCACAGAACAGCATGGCTGCATGATGTTATGTTGTTGATGTACAGTAATGGGGTTATATGGTAATGCATGTTGTTGTGAGTTTTTTCTCACGGGGGACTGAATGAATGTGTTTGTGCTGAGTGGACTGTTTACTGTGACCTTGACGGAGCTGGTGAGCTCAAACTCTGTGATGCAGAACATCACGTGACTCTCTCGAGTTC